AGGCACAAATAGAGCCGACGGCTGCCTCTATTAAACCGGAGCGGAAGCACTGATCTGTATTATTTTACTGGATAGGATATAGCCCCCTAAAAAACGTTCCGAAAAATTGGCCGATTTGGGCAAATAATATGGCGGACCGGATGTTATTTAACATAACCTCTATTTCCATTTGTCATTTAATTGTGTCAAAAAGTTACGCTGAGATGTTTTTAGTTTTTATTGTGGAAAACAAAGTGAAAAGAGTATCCGAACTCTTCATAGGTAAATAAAACAATTATGTTTATAATAATTTGTTAATAGATCTAACTATTTTGTCGAAACAAACTGAAACAATTACTAATTTACACAAGCATACAAGAAAACAAATAACATTTCCATTAAATGATAAAAACTGAAGTGAATTATAACGATTATTACTAAATTAAATAATGTTCTTGTTATTTAAGGTTTCTACAGAATTGGAGCTTTTGGGGAAATGGCCGAAGAGTATGGATATGACCAATTTTAATATTGTAAGTGCAGTAATGCGATTATGTTTAGACTATTTTGAGCTATCCTGCATTGATAAAACACAAACGAAGACGCTGTTGGTAATGCATTTAAAAATATTAGGTACTTTATATCTTTTTTACATTAATAAAAATATTACAAGAAATATAAATGTTTATTTTTTCGCCTTTTCCATTTCTTCTATTTGATTTAAAATATATATAATTCAATATTTGCATAATTGTAAAAATTATGTAAAGCCTTTAAATTTGTTCTTTATTTAATTGTAAATTATATTCGAATAGTCTACACAAAATTACCTACATTATTTTTCAAAATTCTTAATATAAATCATGTTCCTGAAAACACCACTAGATCAGTTCCAATTCTAATCGCTTTAGTTGCATAAATCTATATTGTTCTCTCTGTTAAACATTTTCACAGGTATTATTTAGATCTTTTACATCTATTAACCATATTAATATCTCTGTTCTTCCTGGTTCTATTGTAACAATGGCAAACTCACCAATTCTCGTTTTATATTTGTTCCCTAAAGTGATTCGACCATCTATGTAGTTCTAGCTCGAGGCTGTTATTTCTATTACCAATATCTCCTTTTAGTTGTAGTGCAGTTTGAAGAGTTTTTTTTTTCACTATAGGTACTTTAGAACTGATCCTTTATCTGCTATTTATGTAGGTAGTATCGGATAACATTACTATGATATAAACAATAAACGTTTCCATTTTTATATTTTCTTTCATAAAAAATCAAATTATGGGTGAATTGTCCCGAAGGATATCGCTCGCAAAAGGAATAGAAGAAGAATAAGAAGAAAAACTAATCAAAATATAGGTTAGGTATGTCAAATTATCACAAATTTATTTCTGTGATCTCACCGTAATTTGCTCAAATCGGCCAGCAGTGTTGCACTTCCGGTCTCCTTGGTGGAACGAATTTTTAGAATGTTAAATATAGCCTATATCCTATCCAGTAAAATAATACAGATCAGTGAGCGGAAGCCAGGCGGTTCGATCGAGCCGACCGACGGTTATTTAAATCAAGGCATCGGCTACCTTGGATACGGCGGCTGTCCCAATAGATCCAACGCACATACTTTGATTTTCTTTTACTATACGGAGAATGGTCGCACTGCGCAGCTTTCTGAGTGCCTTTTAAAAGGAGATAGAAAACTCCGCCATTTTGAACCCTTATTACGTGTTGCCTACATCTTGTCGCAATATTTTTAATAGGTGCGTTTTAATCATCCGCTTCTGCTTCGGAATTGTCAGTTTTCTTGTTTTAATCTGACAGGTTAAAACGACTAAAACGACAATTCCGGAAGCAGAAGCGGATGATTAAAACGCACCTGATATTTTGCTTGCTGCTGTCAGTGAATATTATTTTTGAAGTCACAGTTTATTGCTAAAGAATCAGTTAGCTCACTCGGACCAGTTGAAAGTTCCAAAATAACATCTACTCCAGGGATACAAATTCAGGATACGCATAAGACTGCTGTTTTATTATAGGCGGTTGTCATATATTGTATTACCCGAGTTGCACAGTGTATAAACTGAAACATTGAGATCCAAAGTGCCGACGCAGAGTGAGCGATCTGATTCTTTAGCTGTAAACTGTGTCACAGGGTTCAAAATGGCCGCGCCCTATGTTGGGCGTGTCGGACCTCTCTCTTGCCTCGTATAGTAATCAAAGTATGTGATCCAACGGCTTTCCCGATCGAGCCCTGTATAATATGCCAGTTGGACAATGTTGTCGCAACTTGAACAAAACTGGATTAACGTTATCCTTAATTATTACCAAAAATATCTGGCCTAGAGGGTGCCAGAAACACAATAAATTAAAACAAAAAAAAATGTAACAATTTCCATGATTATTAATGCGAACTTATAAGCTACGGTAATTTGTACCTAATAAATAAAAAAGATTAATAAAACAAAAAACATAATTTATTTACCTTTAGAAGATTGTCAATTCTAGATTGTTTCGTATTTTTACGTTATTTGTAAGATGAGATGCAATAATTAAGCTGTTTATGCTAAGGAAACACAAAGCGTACTGACAAGATCCATTCCATACATGTCACACAGTGAGTCTAGATCGGCTATGATCGGGTGGGATCAGCTGACATATAGAAGGGAGCGTAACTTGAGATGCAAATAGGCGTAAACCGAGAGGAAAACAGGGTTGTAATCTCATTAGGGTCAAGCCGACGGCACAGGACCAAAATCACATACTTTGATTACTATACGAGGCAAGAGAGAGATCCGACACGCCCAACATAGGGCGCGGCCATTTTGAACCCTGTGACACAGTTTACAGCTAAAGAATCAGATCGCTCACTCTGCGTCGGCACTTTTTATCTCAATGTTCCAGCTTATACACTGCGCAACTCAGATAATACAATATATGACAACCGCCTATAATAAAACAGCAGTCTTCTGCGTATCCTGAATTTGTAGCCCTGGAGTGGATGTTATTTTGGAACTTTCAACTGGTCCGAGTGAGCTAACTGATTCTTTAGCAATAAACTGTGACTCCAAAAATAATATTCACTGACACTGACAGCAGCAAGCAAAATATCAGGTGCGTTTTAATCATCCGCTTCTGCTTCCGGAATTGTCGGTTTAGTCGTTTTAACCTGTCAGATTAAAACAAGAAAACCGACAATTCCGAAGCAGAAGATTAAAACGCACCTATTAAAAATATTGCGCCAAGATGTAGGCAACACGTAATAAGGGTTCAAAATGGCGGAGTGTTCTATCTCCTTTTAAAGGCACTCAGAAAGCTGCGCAGTGCGACCATTCTCCATATAGTAAAAGAAAATCAAAGTATGTGACCAAAATAGATGTTCGACCGATTGCGCCGGTAATAATTTAAACTGTTTGGTATTTTTATTCTACGATACGACACTGCCGAAGAAACATCACCGCGAACTACACTAGTTTAGTGATGATGTAATTATGGTTCAACTGACAATCAATGTGACAGATTTTTTTAGTGCATTTTGTTTACCTAAATTATATCGTTTTTTAACTTTTATATATTCCTAAAGTAAGTAGATAACATGCATCAAATATACAATCGTTTACCAATTTACCCTCGAGTGTTGTTCGCGCAGTCAGTAAATGTATTCAAAAACCGACTCGATGACTTTTTTAACGAAAACTAAAAGTTTATTTTTAGTGCTTTGTTTGCATTATGTTATTTGCTTATTACTTATTTAATAATTGTCTTTGTTATTGAACTTGTAATTTTGGGCTTAATAGGATTCATTCCTCAGCCCTAATTAGTTTGTAATAATAATTACATACCTTTAAACTATTTTTTATGAACTGTAAACAATATTTAGAAATAAACTAAAAACGATAAAAACGTATGTCAAATTTATTGTAAGTTAGGTTAGAATTAAATGTCAGTGGAACCAAAATGACATCACACAAAACTAGCGCATTCTCGAAGTCAGCAGATGGAGTTTGACGTTTACCACTTCTGTACATACCAAAAGTCTTTCCAACTTCTGGTCCTGCTATATCACAAAGTATTCCCAGTGGTGCGTATAAGTATATACAATTTATTTTAGAACTTCAAAAATTTTTGCTTTCGCGAAAGGTCCGATTTGCTTTTAAACTGCAAATTTTAAATAGTTACATCGATTTAAATTGCCGCCATAAAATTTATATGGCAGGGCGTTCTCATTTTCGCGCATATTGCTGTGACGCAGCTGTAGTACCTAAGGGGTTGGGTGGCTCAGTGGTTAGAGTCTGGACTTACGAATCGAAGGGTCCGCGGTTCGAATCCCGATTGTCGGGATTTTTTTGTAAATGTATTTAAAAATAATTCTGATGCGGAGGTCGGATTCCCCACTCCGACCTAAAGTGGAGCTGGAAAACAGTAACAAAGCCTCTCTGTAGCGGTCCACGAGTATTAGCACTTTTGCACTAGTATTAGACTACTACTACTAGTACTCCTTAAACTACATAGAACATGAGGCTAATGGCGTAAGGGTCAAAGCCAAAGACACCAATAAAAAAAAAAAGAATAAATACCTAACCCTTCAGTTCCGACAGTTTTGTTTGAAATAAGTCGTCCGTACGATCTATTTTGAAACTTCACTTAACCTCTCACCTATCTACACATTTAAAGACAAGCAAACGTCATTCAATGGAAATCTAATAGAATTTAGAAAAATATATTTTACTTTAAAGGGTCATGTCTGTAGTTACATTTTCTGAACCAGATTTCATCATTGCAAAATTGTAACATTTATCGTAAATAAAAAAGTATGGGCAATAATTTTACTTGCTATCACATTTGATTTTATTCTCAATATAATCCTCATGATAGAATAATAATCACAAGAGATGAAGAACTTGTATTGTTAAATAACATGTTCCATACGTTAATTTTCCAGAATTCTTTAACTTTTATTGGTGCAAAAACTGTATTAAAATCTTTGCATTTTATTTTAATTTGTGTATAATTTTTTTTTGTATAAATTGTGATCCGTTAAAACGATAAACTGAAAAGGGAATATGATTTGAAGGGTAATAAGAACAAATATAAATGAACTATTGGAATGACTGGAAAATAGACTGCAAAATACTCTAATCATTAAATAAACATTTTATTAACTTTTTTTACTTATTAATAACTTAAATCACAATATCTAAACACTAATACCCACGAATTTTAAAAATTTGGTGGATAAATATCTAGTAGCTATAGCTCTTTACTTTACCTTAAAATTAAATATGTGCACATACATACTGTTACTTAACTATAAGAATAATCACCACATAATATTATTTATTAATGTCAGTAAACCCAAATTTAAAACTTGAAAATTTTAATAAACACAACGTTCATATATCTAATTAATCCAAGTTATACATTAAAATCAGATTGCAGAAAAAAAAATAATCAATAAGTGTGTTGCATTCAGTTAAATTCTGTACTGGTAAGGTATTTTACTGAACAACACCATAGACATTTTCATCAGAGTAGGCAATGTACAAAAAGAAATCTTCTTCATGATGCTCCTAAAAAGAAAATAATGAATAATTATATTGTCAAGGGTAATTGCTGAGTACCTCCCTAGACCAAATATCAGCAACTATTTCTCTAGAGAAATAGTGGATATTTGGTCTAGTGAAATAGTCGTCCCAAATATAACACGACCTTGATTAATATTCTGCTATTTCTTTCTGATGTTGCTAAATTTCTCGAACATTTTACAATTTGATTTTACGTAATTTTGGCATTAATCAATTGTATAATGCACTCGAGCTAAGGATCTCGGGCTCTAATTAGATTATTAATGCCAAAAAATATGTCTCGTCAAATTGATACTAAAATATTCTCGAGATTTAGATTCAACAAAAATAGCTGACTATATTATCAAGGTCTTGGTATATTACCCTTGATTATTATCGGCACTTTTAGGTTTTTTGAGAGGTTACAAAGAACAAGTAAAATACTACATTTCAATTAAAACTATTTCCTTACGAAAAAGTTTTTTACCTTAGCTCTAAAAAATTATAAATAGAAATAATCTTGAAATAAAATAAAAATAGAAATGCTTTCTTTATCAAATCGTTAAATTAGAAATATACATTATTTACTCATGTGAAAGTTATTTTACCGTTGAATTGTAATTTTTTATATGTAAAATGCTTAATGTCACTGTTTTTAAATAAAAAAATTATATACTCGTATAATTTTCTGTTTATTACTCACCTGGTATAATGATCCCATAGTAGCAGAAGTAGGAGGAATTACATTGTTGACAAAGAAAAATAAGGCATCTTCAGGCCTTAGATGGATTCTCTTTCTAATGAGGAAATAGAATTGTCCTACTGTCAAATCAGATGGAACTAAATACTTCTTCTTGTCAACATCTCCAATTCTTGCTTTTGGGGCTTTTTCAACGATCACCTGTTCCCAAATAAATTTTATTATTATATAGTAAGCAAAAAAAAAAAACAATATTCAATGTACTCTTCTCCAGATGGACTAAAAAAAAGAGGAAAAACTTTTTTATTTTCGATTTTTAGAGAAAATGTTATTCTTTATAATGCTTGTTTGCTTGTTTCAAAACTAATTCAAACAGAAGTTGAATATCTCTTTATTTTAGTGAATTTTTTTAAATTAATTTATAAGTTTTGAAACATGAAAAACTTTTAGGAAGAATAAAATTTTTTCAAAAAGGGGAAAATCAAAAGTTTTGTCTTCTCTTTTTCAGTTCATCCCGTATATATTTTTCTCAAGATTATTCAAAGAAATTATTAAATGACTACTTTATAGTTAGGCCCTGGTCCAGATGGAATTGCTCCCATTTTCATAAAAAATTGTCAATCCTCACTTTCTACTTCTCTATCAGCCGTATGCATAGTCGATCGCCAGCGACTCGCCAGAGATTCATTTCGGCGTATCGCCAGCGATTCGCTGGCGATCCGCCGGCGAAAGCCCAAAAAGCTGACGACTCGCCGGAAATTGTCACCGGAATGTCATTTCACGCAAGTTTTCATTTTCTTTTATAGGGATTATCACCGGTATCTCTCGCATTTTATTCATGATTCATTTCTTAAAACTCAAAAAATAATGAACGAATATCAAATTTTTCCCTATAAAAGAACATTAAAACTTGCGTGAAATGACATTCCGGTGACAATCTCCGGCGAGTCGCCAGCTTTTTGGGCTTTCGCCGGCGGATCGCCAGCGAATCGCTGGCGATACGCCGAAATGAATCTCTGGCGAGTCGCTGGCGATCGACTATGCATACGGCTGTGAGTCAATTATTCCAAAAAGTTTTGATGATGGTTTCTCTCCCCAACGTTGGAAATATTCTAACTTAGCGCCAATATTTAAATCCGGCGACAAATCTGTTTCAAACTATCGAGAAATATCGATTATATCCAGCATTCCTAAAGGCATGGAGGCTATAATAACAGATGACATATTTGTCTTTTCGGCGTTACATTGCACCACAACAGCATGGCCTTTTCAAACGGCGATCAGCAACTACTAATCTTGCTGAGTATCAGCAGTTTCTTTTATCTCTAATAGAGGATGGCAAACAAGTGGACTCTATCTACAGTGATCTGTCTAAAGCTTTCGACAGCGTCTGTCATTCCTTGCTTTTAGATAAATTGAAGAGGATGGGTATTATCGGCAACTACTTTCGATTTTATTCATTCCTATTTAACTGAACGTCGTCAGAGTAATCTAGAGAAATTTTGGTACATTCAGGTGTGCCACAGGACTCGCAAATAGAACCTATATTGTTCACTTTTTATTAACGATGTAACAACTTGTTTTAATAACTCCAGTTGCCTCCTATATGCAAATGACCTAAAAAAAATTTTTTCAATCGTCGATGACCTTTCAAACAATCACATCTCAACAATTTGGTTCAATGATGCAACGATAACTTGCTTAAACTGAATATCAATAAATGTAAAGTCGTAAGGTTCAATAAAACAGCTAATATCATTGTGCATGATTATGTCATTGCAGGTTTTGAACTATAAATGATTTTGGTGTTATTTTTGATAGGGACTTATTGTTTATTCCTCATTTGGAAGAAATTGTAGATAGAGCTTTTCGACTGCTGGGCTTTGTCAAAAGGAACACCAAGCACATTTATGACACAGCAGCTCTGAAGAGTCTCTACAACTGCTTAGTTAGAAGCATTTTAGAATATTGCTCAGTGATTTGGGCATGTAACTACAATTGTCATATTGATAAATTAGAAAGAGAGTAAAATAAATTTTCGAAGTATTCTACTATATAAACATAGGCTTCCATCGCAAAATATAGATTACCAAACCAGAATTCTGTTGTGCGGCCTAAATGCAGACGTCGAGAAGCATCGCTTGTTTTCCTGTATAAGTTATTGAACGGTTTCATTGATAGTGACAGCCTGGTACATTTTATTAGATTCCTTGTTCCAGCCAGACTTACTAGGCATATTAAACTATTTAATGTAAATACTCATAGAACCAACTATGGACAGAATTTATTTGTAGACTGACTGATGTCCAATTACAATAAGTATTTTTCAAATTATGACATTTTTAATACAGGTTTGTTTTCTTTAAAGCACCAACTTTCATTACACTATTGACTTTATACTGTGACAATTTTATTAATTTTTTTTATTTTTAACCGACTTCAAAAAAGGAGGAGGTTCTCAATTCGTCGCGATATTTTTTTTATGTATGTTCAGCGATAATTCTTCAACACGGTGTCCGATTTCAATAATTCTTTTTTTGTTAGAAAGGGGGTACTTCAGGGGTGGTCCCATATAAATTTGGTCAAAATATAATAATTGGGTCTGTGAGAAAATACTCAAATTCTTCATTTTTTATGTATGTTTAGCGATAATGCTTTACCACCTTGTCCGATTTATTTGATTCTTTTTTGTTAGTAAGGGGATACCTCAGGGGTGGTCCCATATAAATTTGGTTAAGATGTGGTGACGGCATCTGCACGTTTTTGAAGTCGGTTTTTTAAAATTTTTAATTTCTAATACTTGTTATTTAAATTGATATATTAAATGTACCATTTATGTATCTGTAGTAAACAAATAAATAAATAAGATATGAAATATATTCGTTCAGTTGAAAGCAATAGCATACTTTTACGTTTTGTAATCTGTGTTTAGATAAGCTAATATCCATGTGGGTGTAGAAAAAGTATATTGTAGGATCACTTTTATAGTATGGTATGTCGGCGTATCCTAGGACCTTTTTTTTGTTCTACACTCTTCCCGATATCGGTATCGATACTTTCGTTCCGATACCCTTCCGATACTGTGGTTCCGATACACTTTTCGATACTGGTATCGATACTTTACCGGTATCGTAACATCCCTAATCGAAACCAACGATTGCCACTCGATGCTGTGTCGATACCGACTGGCCCGACAGCGACACCTGTGTCAACCTGCAATCGAAAATTCATGCGATCGTTGCATTCTTTCTTTATTTTATTTAAGTAAAACATTTATAATGACGGGTAAATTTTGATACAGAATGCTTAAAAAAAGAAAAACTATTTTTATTCTGAATTTGATGATACATTTGCACAATGCAATATTTATGTGGCAAAGCTGTCTTATAGAACCAGCACAACATAAAGAGTTATTACAGTATTTACAATACCTAATGATTGTAACACCTTAATCCTATGATTCATTACTGATTGTCCTGTATGGTGTATGTAAATATAAATATAACATGTTGTTTGGTCGTTTACAAATTTCGAAATGCAGAATCGCAATTGCAGGTTGCAATCGCAATCACAGTTTTAACTGCGACTGTAAAATCGCGGTTTAGCTCACCTCTACTGTCCTTCAGCATACATTGGAGACTTTTTTTAGTTGAAACCGATTGAATCTGTTGGAAGATGGAAATCACTTTTGTTTCTCGCATTATAATTATTTTTGTGAAACTTATTCTTATTAAAAAAAGTATAGGTTAAGTTAGATATATGCATGAACAGGTCATGAATTATTATGTATCTCTACAAGATTCGTTGTAATCTAGGTTAAACATTAGGCAAATGAATCACTTTTGAAGGAAGAATATTTGCCCAATTAGTTGCTCAGCCCACACAATTATATTGTATCTGATGGCAGAGTATATAAATGCATAATACAAGTTAAGTAGGTGAGCTTGATACAAATTTGATTTCAAACTATTGAAAGCAAAGTAGAGTTTATTAAGTTTTTTACAGAGAGACTCAATTTAATAGTTAAGATTTAGTTTGGAATCTAATTCTATTAAAAGAAATATATTGTATTCCACAGTCTCAAACTTGCTATTTAATGTTAAAATTTTGTTATTGTCTTCCTTAAGTGGAGATGTGAAATGGATAAAAATGGTTTTATTTTCATTGATGATGATATGATGTTTTTAACACCAATGAATGAGTTAATTCATGGTTATTTGTATCTTCTTAAGTTACTCATTTTAACTGTCAGCTACAATTACAATTGTTGTGTCATCGCATGTATAAAAACTAGTCCATTTGTTATACTTAAGGGTAGGTCATTTATGTAGATGAGAAATTAAAGGGGTCCCAATACTCCACTACACCTTGTGGAGTTCCAATAAAATTACTAAACTCATCATCAATCTGCACTTTAAGTGTTCTATCAGACATATATGAGTTTATTTATGATTGAATTGGACCTCTAATGTGCACTTCTTCAAGTTTTGTTGATAAGTAGACCTATACACCTATTATTGATGCTTGAAAAGTATGTTGATGTTTCTATCTTCTGTAAATTTTTTAAAATGTTCCTCTTGGCTTGAACTCTATTGAGATTCATTTTTTTTAGCAAATATTTAATTATGAATTGTAGGTAGGTACATCAGTACTGCCGTCCTAAAAACAGATGCCGTATCTACTGAGAGCGTCAAGCGGTGAAAATGAGGTTAAAAGTTATTTTGTTAGTTGGTAAAGGTATTCAAATGCGGCTAATTATGTTGGATGTTTAATATTTCGGAAACATATACGGCATTTCTACTTGGTAAGAAGTTAATTTAGCTTGCCACGAACCTATTGATACAAAAAATACTTGTGGCACTCGGGGACTGCCGCGGTAAAGCTATTGCATAACATTTTTTATCAACTTATGCAATTATAATTATTTATTTATTTTATTTATGCAGTATTTTTTTTCTTTGATATTAATTCAAGTTACACTTTTTGAGCGTGGTGACCGATAAGGAAACAATTTTTGTCTCTTATTGAATAATATTGTTTAAAATATTTTTATTATCTTACAATACATGTAGGTTATTCAGGAATTTGTAACATTGAAACTATAGGTTTATGGTAACTGAAATAAGAAACATAAGTTTGAGACTTGATATCCTCTAAATATCTGGAAAATACCGCGTCAATGGTGGTCCCATATTTTGTTGTGGATCATTATTCATTTTCAAATTCAATTTTTCCGAAATTGTGTCTAAAAGAGATAGAATCAGTTAGCAGCTAGTCTACACGCATACGTCTAGTCGCACGCACACAAACACCGTGCCAAAGTCTGCCGAACTGAAACGACGTTAGACGATGCACGGCTTTCAACGCCGCACCGCTGTGCCGGTCGGAGTGGGGGGTGTTAGGTTTATTTTCGTTACGGAATTTCTATTTGGATTTTTATATCTTTCGATTTTTCGATTTTCTTTTATTGAATAAATGAGAAGTTATTGTTTAACGCTGCACCGCTGTGCCGGTCGGAGTAGGGGGTGTTAGGCTTTTTTCGTTACGGTCGTTACGGAATTTCTTGATTCGGTCGCCGCACTCAAAGCCCGCGATAAAAGCTATGCAATAGCTTAAAACTTCAAAATCGGACTTTATGTAGATACGGCATCTATTTTTAGGACGGCAGAATAAATGGAATGTTTTATTTTTATTAACACAAAAATTTAGCATCTAGACAATGAAAATTATAATGGCGGGTGAGGTTTTCCACGTTTTCCTCACCTGTAAGTCAAATAGAACCATCAAGGCAAATAGTAATAAAATGGACAGCAGCCCGGGTTAGCAGGTTCACTTATTGTAGTTGCATAACACAGCAGATAGGCTCGATAAAATCCCTACCTCTGGTTGTAATACTAGATGATTCGGCTAAATTTCTAGTATTTGGGGTAGTGAGCTCACCAGCATCAGTGCTTAAACCTCGTAGTTACAAATAAGCAGATGTTAAATAAATTAATAAAAAATAATATCCGTCCTTTCCCTACACACTCATTTAGCTCCAGGGATTAAAATTCACTAGCTAGTGGGTGAATTATGGGTTGGTGGTTTGGGGTAGTGCCGGAGTGACGGTTTTAAACAAACTACAGGTTGCACAAAAATATATCATAAAAATTATGGTTTTTAGAAATAAAAGGTTTCCTACTGAATTGCTTTTCAAAGAGATTCAGTTATTAGATATTAGACAGTTACACCTTAAAGCAGTAGTTAGATTCATGTTAAAATTTTCCTACTATCAGGAATCCATAAGCCATGGGCGTAACACAAGAAATGCAGCTCAAAACAATGTCGCACGCCAAAACCCCAAGCATGCCAAAATCATATTTATTGTCTTGGTCCAAAAATCTTTAACTGCCTTCCTAATGATATTAAAGTAAAACCATATTCTAAGTGTAAAAAAGAGATAAGACAGTGGATACTCCAAAGCAATTATGTAATTAATTATATAGTTTAATTTTAAGTTTAATTTTAAATAATATATCACACAATTATTGTTCATATATATATACTTATTTTACTATCTCCTATCGAATTATTGTTACCACATTTCTACTACTTTAGTACAAAAATCTGTTATACTTAGCTTAAATAAGAATATTTTTGTTATAAAAAAAAAAAATAAAAAAAAAAACCTCAAAGATACATGTATAAGAAAAAGAGTGCACACACAGTACTTTAAGTACAATTGTGCACTAGAGTAGAAGTTTTCATTTTAAATATTATTTAGAGGGTGACCTCAATTTAGGAATTAAGTAGTTAAGTAATAGAGTGATTTATTTTTCTCCTGTTCCTATAATTAATTATATTACTGTTTAATATAAATGTAAACTACTACATAAATAAATAAATAAATAAATAAATAAATAAATAAATTATTTTATTTTTTATTTATTCACGGGCCTTGCCCACTTTCAGTACAAAGTTACAAATAAAACAAAAAAAACCTCAAATAGAGTCAATCTGAATAATATGACATAATAATGATAAACTGATAAACTAACAACACAAATCATAAATATATTAACATGTACAAAATCGAAACAACTAATATTAAGACTAGGGAATTTAACACCCTCACAAAATTAGAAAAGCTTGAATTAAAAAATTCTAGACTATCTGCACAAGCATTAGCGCTTCATGAAACTCTAGGCATGGAATGAATTGAGGCCAGTATTAGTTCTCATGAAGGGCTGATGAAAACTGTTTATTGATCTTGTGCTTCTAGTTGGGGCTGCCAACAACATGCTTGAAATCAATGTAGGGCAGGCAGTCAACCATATAATTAATGAGCTTAAAAATAATTTCAGATCTGCCTGATCTCTTCTTATTCTCAAAGTTGGTAAGGAGAATGTCTCTTGAAGTTCCGCAAAATCATATGAATAGTCATCTATCAGGGAATATTTGATTTAAATGCTAAGTAGCGAAGAAATTTTTTCTGAACCTGTTCTAATCTATGAATGTGACAAGTATACTATGGGTTCCAGACTGAAAAGCAATATTCTAGCAGAAGCCTAACAAGACTCCAGTACAATAACCTGATAGCATTAATACTTGTAAAGTCTGATGTGTTTCTCTTTATAAACCCAAGCATACCAAGTACTCTGGATACTATTGTGTAAATGTGATTGACAAATTTGAGCGTGGAGTCCATAATAACACCCAGATTTCGAATGGATGCAACTTGGGACACTGGTGTACCCTTGATATTATATTGATAATCAATCATGTTGATCTTTCTAGTAAAGGATATAGAATTACACTTAGTGGTGTTTAGGTCCATAGCATTATTCGCACACCATTTATCTAGCCTAGCCAGATCAGACTGAAGTTTGAGACAATCCTCAACAAATGAAACTGCTAGGTAGCACTTTAGGTCATCAGCTGATATTAGGGAGAGTATTTTTATTATTATTACAATTTATTCAAACATCCATGGTGAAAACCTACCCAAATTAATATTGCAAGAGATTATACCATGATCATGATTGAAAGAAAATAACCAGAATAATAATATAGGTACATGTCAGTGCTTCCGAAAATACAGATACCTACAACTTAAACAAAGAAAAAATTTTCAGTTTCTTTGGTAGGTAAATCGTAAATACGACGCTAATAATTAGTTATTTACAAAAATATCTTTATCTTGAATTAAGAATTAGTCATAATTATGCATTTTAATTTAAATATTGGTTATTGTAATATATTTTCTAAGGACTCTCTAAGAAGAAATTGTTAATTATTATTCCCTATAACAATTTTAAATGAAAGTTAAAAACCAGATTTCTCGCACAAAGAAATCAATGACCTTGAAACGCCATTTTTCTTTTAAAACGTAAATAGTATTTGTTGCCAAAAACCACCTACTTTTGAATATGAAATCCTTGAAAATGCGTAATTGACAAGCCTAAAAATATATTGCAAATAGAAAACCCCCTTATTAAGAATTTCTCTTTATCTTATTTAATTCCTACTGTTCTCATTTATGACAAACGTCAAAATTATGTTTAATAATAAAAATATACTTACAGGCACTCTATCAGGGTATTTTCTCCTGATTTTTTCACCCTCGGACTTACGCTTCTCAAAGGCGTGCTCTTCTTTATATTGAAACTTCATTTTAATAACTGAAACACCAAAATTTAAAAAAATTCGACTTATTCTTTTAATGAACGTACGTGTAATTTATTTTTCTTGTTGTGAAACAAAACAATCGATTGTCTCATATACGTCACTAGTAAGTGCTGCCAACCGTTATTTCTCATTTACTCTCAATTTTTTTAAAATTACCCGCCATTACTTACACGATTCTAAACTGTCATCATCAACCGGATAATTATTTCCATAAAATACATTATTTGCTTCAAATAGTTTCTACTTTATTGATTTTTAATTTTAAAAATTAGCTAGTGAGCCTTTAAAGAAAATTATGCGATGGTCTTTATCTTTCCACCATGAGAATATGGCAAATCAAAATATGTGGAATATGGACTATTAGTAGCAGGGCCGGCTCTAGCATTTTGTCCACTGTGTGCAAAATCCTGAAATGGCGCCTCTCCCCTATCTAGCTTGACTACTACAATTTTTTTATATAGGTCTAAAAAATGGGTGGCACAAAATTGATCGAAAACATTTGATCGAATACATTTGATCGAAAACATTTGATCGATTGCATTTGATCGAAAAAACATTTTATCGAATAACAATTGATCGAAAAGAAAAATGATCGAACAGAAAAATGATCGAAAAGAATAATGATCGAAAAGAAAATTGATCGAAAATAGATTTGATAGAAAAAGCAATTGATCGAAAAACCAAATATTCATAAAATTATAGAATAATAAGAAAAATCAAAACAATAATTTTAACTCAGGGGGGTGGGTGGCTCAGTGGTTAGAGCCTCTGCCTGTGGATCCAAGGGTCCCAGGTTCGAATCCCACCGTTGGCCGGAATTTTTTCATTTAATTTAATTATTTAAAATTAATTCTGATGCCTTGGTAGGATTCCCCACTCGACCATTCACTGTTGGGTTCTAATTAACAGTGCTGTTCCTAAAGTGGGGCAGGGAAACAGTAACAAAGCCTACACAGAACACGAGGCGAAATAACCTTAGCAGTTGAAGCCGATGACATAAAATAGAATTAAGTAACGTACCTAACTAACTCAACTTGTGCCAGAGCAATCAGTCAATTTTTATTTTTTTTGTGTGTCATCGGCTTCAACTGCTAAGGTTATTTCGCCTCGTGTTCTGTGTAGGCTTTGTTACTGTTTCCCAGTGCCACTTTAGGGACATCACTGTTAATTAGAACCCAACAGTGAAGGTAAATTAGTTTTTTTTATTTTTATATTTTTTTTTTGCGAGGCAAACCGCGACGTTTTCAAACTGGAGCAATTTAACTGATTGCTCTGATACAGGTTAGGTAAGTTAGTTAAGTTTTATAAAAATAAATAAAAATAAAGAAAACCTAACCAATTTACCTAACCTGTGCGGCCTGGGGCAATTTAACTGATTGTTCTGACAGAGCTTAGGTAAGTTAGTTGGGTCTTTTAAAAAATTAACTAACTTACCTAAAACTTAACTAACTTACCTAACCTGTGTCAGATCAATCAGTTAAATTGCTCCAGGCCGCACAGGTTAAGTAAATAGGTTAGGTTTTCTTTATTTTCCCTTTTTTAAATTTTTCTTATTTTTCTATATTTTTTTGCGAGGCAAACCGCGACGGCTCCAGGTCGCACAGGTTAGGTAAATTAATTAAATTTTTTTTAAATAACCGTTTAGCTCTAAAATAATTATTTTTAAATTAACAGTATTGTAAGGATAAAATTTGTTAAACGAGGTATCTATCATTTGAGATTATAGAAAAATTTGCCATTAGTACCTAATTTTGATAGCCGCTTGGTTTAGTTTCCCTGGTAGACGGAGGGTTGAATGGTTGATTTTTTGATATTTTACTATTTTTCAATGTATTGTCCATTCGATCTAATGAATTTTCGATCTATTGCCTTTTCGATAAAGTGTTATTCGATAAAATATATCTTCGATCAAATGTTATTCGACCAAATGTATTTTCGATCAAATTCCATTCGATAAAATATATTTTCGATCAAATTTCCAATTCGATCAAATGTTTTTCGATCAATTTTATGCCACCCCTAAAAAATAGGTATACTAAAAGAAACCACAGGAAAACTTTATTTTTTTTTAACATAAACTTATTTTCAAACAATTTACAAACGAATACCTCTACTTAAATTGGGTTAGCCAAAAAACATTACTTAATAAAAAAAAAAATCCAATTTAATTTCAGCAAACTGTCTTATGATTTCTGTAATATCGGTTTTCTCACATATCTCGTGTTCTATTGCAATAATAACAAGACCACAAAGTCGATTTTGTGTGATTGTGGTACGTAGGTAAGTCTTGATCCGTTTTGATTTTGAGAAACTCCTTTCTCCTGTAGCGACAGTTACTGGAAGCGTTAAAAGGATCCGGATGGCTATACTTAAATTGGGAGCAAAATACAATTTTTTTATAAATTGAAGTACTTCTTTAGGGAATTCTTTTTTTCGTTTAAAAGAGAAGATACAATGACCATTTCGTCAGCTAGCTCTAAACCATTTATATCACTATTATCTTGGTCAGTTAAGACGTTCTCAAGTTTTTTGCAGTGTGCTATTATCTGGCTTTTAGGTACTTGCTTTAAGTTGTAAATGTCATAAAAAATTGAAAATTTTTCGAGTGATCTTCTAGAGCGTAACATCTTTGCTTCAAAGCATTTATTTATTTATTGTACAGTATCCAACAGGGTAATCCCCAATTAAAGGATAAGGTGAAAAACTATATAATTATGGAAAATAACATTTGAATATTATAAAACGTATACAGAAATGTCATATAATATATTTAGACATTAATTGAATACACACTAAAAAAAATCAAGATAAGAGAAAAATAGTGTGCACTCAATTGAGTCTATTACATTAAACATTAAATACCTGAATAGGTGAGAAACAGGAGAACAATTTTTCAAATAGAAATATTACAAAAACAAGAAAAATCAAAAATTCACATTATTGTATTAAGGACCGATTCCACCGTTGTGTTAAACGAAGTTTAAAATGACATTTTTACATTAACCTCCGTTTAACACATTGGTGGAATCGACCCTAAGGAAATAAGTTGTTATAACGGTTATACTATATAATTAAAAATGTCGGTATGAGATTCAACTTCAGAATAGTTTTGAATCATTAAGTAAAGAGGAGAAGCCTTACATATATTGGTCCTCTAGTAGTATTTTGATAGAATACCTGATTAAGGCGAGAATTATTTCTTGGTATGCGAAAGTTTAATAGATTAATAATTAAAATGCAGTGTATTTCATTATTGATAAGTTTGTGTAAAAACAGAACAGATTGCATTATTCGTCTTCTCAGTAAGCTATGAGTATTGAAGCGATTTTAAAAATACTGTTGAGGAATGCCTCTCGGTGGATAGCAATAGCTTGACAGACAGCTTTGTAAAAACGTCTTTGTATGCGTTCAATTGAAGATATCTGAACATTATAAATGGGATTCCAGATAATGTTACCATATTCCAGCTTAGACCGTACAAATGCAGAATAAAGTAGATTCATTGTAGAAAAATCTTTAAACATTCTCATGTTTCGGATTACAAAACCTAATAAACGATAAGCACTAGCAGTGGTTTTGGCAATGTGAGCATTAAAAGTAAGTTTAGGGTCAAAGTAAACACCAAGATCTCGTATAAGCTCTGGACGTGTTAGAACAACATTGCGTAATTTGTAATTATATATTATTACAGTTCATCAAATTTCTAGAGGCCTTCGACGGCTAGACAGAGAAAGCACTACTGAGAGGCATCGGTTGGCGGGGCCGACGGATTTACGCAATGAAAGTACACTCTGCGCATCAAGTATTTCACTATTTTATTCAGACGTAAATGTCAGATGTAAATTTCGCTAAAACATTTCTTTTATTTTCGTTTGTGTTTTTTGCTCATTACAGTTTAATAGAACCTAAGTATGGAGTTTAATAGCAAATTAAGAGGCCGCGTGATTAACAGTCAATCTCGCGAAATAATAGCCAATGTTATAGAGTTTATGAGAAGAGAAGGAAACTTTAATTCACCTTCAACACCATTTAAAAATGTAAATGATCGTGTTGCTGCAGCCACAGGAGTATCTAAAAACACTGTCGTCCGCATTTCTGGAGAGAAAAAAAGAATCGATAACCGTGAGATATCGGAATTTTCATCACCAAGAAAAACCATTAAAAAACCAAAAACAGTTCATGATATAGATGAAGCTGACAAAGGTATTTTAAAAAGAATTATTCTGTTCATGTTAATCTCGGAAAATAATGTTCCAACATTAAAAACAATTCTGACTAAATTTAGAGAAGCTACAGGGTACAAAAGAAGCTATGAAAGTTTAAGAAAAATAATAAAGTCGCTAGGATTTCGTTGGCGGAAAACAAAAACAAACAGAAAATTATTAATGGAAAGGTTTGATATTCAAAAGATACGTTTAGACTATCTGATTCGTTTAAAAAGTTATCGAGCAGAGGGCCGTCCAATTGTCTACATACATTCATGCCTCCCACACACACCAGAAAGCTTGGAGTGATAATTCAAATGAGGGATTAAAGAAACCAATTAATAAAGGTGATAGACTAATTATTGTCCATGCAGGAGGTGAAATGGGCTTTATTCCGAATGCCCGGTTAATTTTCAAATCTGGAATCAAAAGTGGAGACTACCACGATGAAATGAATTTTAATAATTTTTCTAAATGGTTGAAAGAAAAGCTGTTTCCGAACCTCCCTCCAAGAAGCGTCATTATTGTTGATAATGCTCCTTACCATAATGTCCAGGTAAATAAAGCACCAACGTCAACTTCTAAAAAAGCTGACATGCAGGATTGGTTAAGGAATCATAATATTGCTTACGAAGAGGCTATGCTCAAAACGCAATTATACAGTTTAGTGCTATTGCATAAGTCACGATTTAAGAGGTATGCAATTGAAGAAATGATAAATGAACATGGTTTTAGTTGTTTGCGTTTGCCACCGTATCATCCCGATCTTAATCCGATCGAATTAGTGTGGGCATCATTGAAACAATATGTAGCTAGTAACAACACTACATTTAAGAGGCAAGACGTACAACTGTTGTGTGAAGACTTTTTTGATACGTTTTCTAAAGAGGAGTGGCAATCTCGTTGTAATAATGCTAAAATGTGGGAATCTAAATTTTATGACAGAAAAGTTACTTTGGATGAGGCAACTGATAGATTTATAATTAACTTAAACAGTGACAGTGAGACTGATTTTGAATCTGATATGGAAACTGAAGAAAGTTTTTCGGAAGACCATTAAAATTATATCTGTACCTAAGATCAAAAAAGTATTATCTATTTTTACAACGAAGATGCACAAGAATCAAATTTTATTTTTTTATTATTAGATAGCTATTTTTGTTTCTGAGTTGTGTTCATTTACAGGCTCAATTTTTTTCCGTTTCTCCTTTTTGATTTTATATGGGGTTTCAAGTTGTTTTTGACTTATTTCGACGTAAATCACAACAACACACTTTTTTAATAAAGCAAACAAGTGTTAAGAGGTATATGTACGTGTAAACTACAATTACAAAAAATTGATATGAAACCCATGAAACCACCAACAAAAATGTAAAGCTAGCTTCCGTACTAGAACATGGTGTCATTCGTCGAGATAATTTATCGTTTTGTTTAATAGATCAAGAAATGTAAATATTCCCCTGTTATTTTTTATAAAATTATAAGAGAAATAAATTTTTTTCTAAATAGTATAGTTTATTATTTTGTACAAAAACAAAATTTCGAAAATTTTAGTAATGTTTCAGAAACAACCGTTATTAATAATAGGTACCATTTTACTTAATAAGGTAGAAATAAAATATAAACTATTTCCACGATTTACAAAGGCCTACAAAAAAATTATAGGTATTTTCCGCTATCCTATAAAATTTATATTTTCTGACTCAATTTCAAAAGGTTGAAGAAATTCCAAAACACCTTTTATGGCATAATAATTATTTTCAATTCTACATACTATCTTTAGCTGCTTTTAAAAACGTTCTAAGAAAGTCCAATCAGACCAATTTAATCCCTAAACTATTCCACACTTTTAAAATTTAATTACCTAAAAATATTAAAAACTATTTAAAATAACTTGTTTAGCAGACTGTACAATAGCTATCTTAGTCACACGTAGCGCGTTCTCTGTCTGGGCGTCGAACACCTCTAGAAATTTGATGAACTGTACATGATCTTTTCTACAAAATGACATAACTTTACACTTAATGGCATTGAGTGGTAATTCATTCTCTGAGCACCATTCATCTAATAAATCGATGTCTTTCTGAAGTTTAGCACAATCATCAGTAGTTTTAATTTCATAAATGCTCTAAGTTGTGTAAATGCGTGGAAAATTTTTCACGCACGAATTTTCTAAAATATTTTTTGAAACGAACAAAACTATTGCCATAAAAAAAAATTTCATACAAGTTGAAATATTATTTCAAAATATAAAACAAAGCAAGACACGACTGCATGGCACCACTTTGACTGTCGATTTATTTCAGACGCTTTAATTTCCTAATGAAATTGCGTGTTAATGTTTTTTTTTGTAAACAAAATTTCAATATTATGCACCAAAGGACCAAGTTTTATTGCAATTCTCCTGGTTGACTCGACCGAAGCGTGTTTCAGTGTTTCGCGGTCGACCATTACCCGGAACGCGAACGTGACGTTTTAGGCGTAATTTCTACAGCTTTCAACCATTATTTCCGAAAATATTTTGGTCTGGTATACTATAAACCATACAAAAATATTTATTAACAAAACAAATATTTGTAAAAAGTTACTCCTTCCTATATCTTCCACAGTAACCTTGCTCCGATCCTGTCTTGTCAGTAATGCCACCTAAAAAATAAGTTATCATGGAGCCCAGCTCAGTGTTTTCTTTCGGTGCTGTATCTAGGGTTTGTGAGATCTATGACGAAAACTGTGGTATTTTTCGAGGCATAAACCAACATGAATGTTTATGCTATTTAGACGTCTATAATATACGTCTATAGACGTCTAAATAACAATCTGTCATAAACGTTCATGTTGGTTTATGCAGCGAAAAATACCTTATTCTGTTTCGCTTCTTGGACCTTGGGTTTGGGTTAGGTATTCTTAGCAGGGACAGAACACAAGTTTGAAAAAGGCTTTTGTCAGGTTCTCCCACTTTATACACGAAAATTGACAGGTTTGCGGCGAATCTAACCGAAAAGGACGCGATACATTGGCGTACAAAATTATGTTATTGATGTTAATAACAATTTCGAGTAAATAGTTTAATAAATTGTGAATAGTTGTTGAAATTTTGTAGAATTATGATTTGTATATTATAATACATGTTTAATAATTATTTATAGTCCACAAATAAATACGATTGTCTGGTTCCGCCTGTAAAAATTTAAAATTACTTATTCTATGAACCGACACTGGTAGGCATGGAGGAAAGATTATTACGTAGGTAAACCATAGATTGTCTCTGACCATAGATATCTATGAGGTAAACATTACTGCGAATTTCTCCATTTCTCGAAGCCGTCAGCTGTCCGACGCGACGTGTTTGACGTTTACCCCCTCTCCTCTCTACCTACCAAAGTCTTTCCTTTTCTCTTTAACCCCTTTATTAACCTTTAATTATAAATAATGATAATAGGTCTGTTCTGGTTTCGAGAAATAACGATCCACAACTGTCGGGCTCATGCGCAGTAGATAAAAAGTGTTCTGGTTTTTCTGGAACTACTTCGGATCTCTCAGTCCAGTGTTCTGGTTTCGTATCCGAAATAATCCGTGATTGTTGTAAACAGTCAAAAAGTGTTCATGCTTGGGAGTGTGGATCGACTCGGACTGTTTTGACCGCGCATGCGTTTTTGAAGTGTTATGAATATTGCATTGGCTTTTTAGACTATACGAAACGTATACAATCCCAAATTGTTTATTTATATGTGGACGAATGTCTCTTGTTCTTGTTTTATTTGTAAATTAAAGCAATTTTAGAATTATTAATTTTTTAATATTCTGTTTTTATTTATTCCATTGAAATGTGATGATAATGATAAACATATACATGCAAATGTTATTTGAAGCTGAGCTTTCAAAAGGAACTTCATTATTATAATAAACATGGAGGAAGGATTATTAAGAGTTGCCGTTTCTTTGTAGAAATTTGGCAACATGTTTGCTTGCAACGACCTGTGGGGTGGAGGAGTAGAACTAATCTTACTCTGTCGGTAATGTAGTTACCAGCAGTATTACCATCAACTCTTACTCTGTCGGTAATGCAGTTACCCGTAATTTTATATTTAATTTGAAAATTGGCGGTTTTTTTTAAAGGAGAATTTACTTTTGCAATTATTTTCTAACTAATACGAAATATAGCCATACAAAATTTTGATAGTAATTTTTTAAATTTTTTAGTGAAATAAAAAACATGTACGTGTAGCTAAAATATGTTCCTCTGGAGCCACTTTTTCAAAATTTAATCAAATTTTGATGGCAATAAATCGCAAAATTTTGTTTTTATAAAGATTTCAAAAATTGAGAAAATAATTAAATCAAATTTCGGAATAGTGGCTCCAGAAAAACAGACATTTCACTTTTACCTGAAGGTATATATTTTTCATTCACTAAAAAGTAAAATTAAACTATAGAAATATTTGTGGCTCTATTTCGTATTGTTTAGAAAAAGATAATTGCTTAAGTAAATTTTCCTCTTAATTATAATTAAAATTTTCCATTTTTATTAGCTGTTTGTAACAATTATGAAATGCCCAATAAAAATGTAAAATTCTATGACAAATAATTATGAGGGATAAAATAAATATCATACAAAGTTTTATATAATTATATTTACTAAAAATTCCCAAGAAAAATAAAATCAAAGAGATGGCAATACAAAAAAATATTTTTCATATACTTCACCCCCATACAAGCGAGCTTATGCGAAGCAAGAATGTCTATTATTATTATTTACTATGGCGCTCCCGGACGTCTTATAAATGATTATTTAAGAAAGTTACTCTAATATCACAAACATTACATTACTATTTCGGTACGTTAACTATCTTTGGCTAACAAAAATCAGAAATTGCATAACAAATAATTAATTTACTTGATATGAAAACTAATGCCTAAGTAAATAAATTTTTAAAATAAACGAAAAACAAAACAACAAATTCTTCTTGAATCTTAGGAAATCAGACAAAAGCAACCATCCATATAAACTGAAACAGAAAAAAATTAAATGCAGTAACTTCAAATAATTTTGTTTGTCTTTTAGACATTGCAGCAGCCCTCATACTATCATTATAATACTTTCTTATTATTAATAGTAGACAAGTTTCAACTAAATGAGAAAAGACATCTGTTTTATGTTCTTTATATGTAAACCAGAGACGGCTTGTGGCCTAGTCTGTGAGGAAGCTGGCTCATCCTATATACTTTATACAAATATATATTTCTATTAGAATACAATGAAATATTTCTGCTTTTTGAATTCTTATAGACATATATTTGTATATAGGGTGTGCCTTTTAAAAGTAGTCTCCTCATAGACTAGGCCACGAGTCGCCTCTGATGTAAACCATTTAAAATCAACATGGTCTGGCAAAAAAGTTTAATTATTTGAATTATGTTGTCAATATGACCCAAAAGTTGTGAAACTATTTCAAGAATTTTTGAAAGAAATTCAATAACATTTCTTTGTACATAAATAAAACGTCTTTTATCAAAATTTTCTTTAAAATAAGTAAAAGTATCGATGGTCTTCTAACATGTCTGTAAATTAACTTTACACTCTTTGCAGTCAAAACTATTAAGTTTCTTAATAAACCCTGCAACATAACTAGTGGCCTGACTCAAATTCTGCTTTATTTATTAATTTTGTATATATTATTAAAATGAACTTTATCCACACAGGACTCTGTTTGGAGGTGTGATAACAATATTACTAAGTACTACTATCTTTGGTGTATCTGGTTTTGAGGATGCTAAAGCAAGGTAAAGCAAATCTTTTAGCAGTCTTGAACGATTTGTGTTTGTAAACAATTTTGTATCAAAATATGATTTTCACATAATGTATAATGATTGGGGTTGTAAGTGAAATGTTTAAAATACGACACCATTCCGTTCTTTGATCAATATCAGAAGGAAATTTAAAAATGTTTGTTCTTAAAATTTACGTTTGGAATGGGCCTTATAAAATGTACTATAACAATTAGAAATTATGCGTTTATAATGAATTCTGCCTGGTAAAGACATGTTAAAGCATCAAAATACCTTTACTTGATTTTAAATAATCCTAAATAACATATCTAAAAAAATAAAAGTAGTTCCACTCACATGTTTTCTTCGACAACCAAATCATAACATAACCACACATTTGTTTGATTTTGATGTTATTTGTTGACAGCGCGCGCGGGGCCCGCTATAGCGGGCAGCCAGCAGTCATGCAGCGGACAGAAAGCCATCTTCACATAGTACAAATAACTAAGTGAAGGTATGTTTTTTTTAGTTTGTTGTAATATATGAATTAAAATTTTTGAAACAACACTTTTTGTGTGTTACTGAACGAGATGTTATTAAATTAATCAATGTGCTTTACATTTTAATACAATTTTGCTATTGTAAAACGGACTTCAGAGCACCCAAGCGCGGAGGAGTATGCGCAGAAACGTGTTTACGTATTGTGCATATGAACCCCCGTGATAATAAACAATAAACAAAACACCTTTATGACGTGTTCTAGTTTTCCAAGAATTTCAAACAGTCGGGGATTTTTTGCCTTTACGCATACGGTCCGGCGCAGTTTCAAAACAGTTTTCATTTTGAGAACCAGAACAAACCTAATAAAAGTTTATTCTCAAAATTATTAACTATCAACTGTCATAAAATGGTTCAGAAAGTTTTATTTGTATGCTTAGGTACCTACTAATATTTTAATTTTTTATATCAATAGTTGTAACATATTTTTATGTTACAGTAAAATAAAGTTTGTTTTTAGGTAATATATGTAGATCACCAATAGCAGAAGCAGTTTTTCAACATTTAGTTAAAGAAAAGGGAATTTCTGATCATTGGGTAGTTGATAGTGCAGCAATAGGTTCTTGGCATGTTGGAAAACAACCTGATACAAGAGCAAGACAAATTTTAAAAAATCACAATATCAGTTATAATGGAAAAGCTAGACAGGTAATATTTAAGTTGATATAATTAAATAATGATAAATGTTTCATCATCTTTCACATTTCCTTTTTAGATACAAACAGAAGACTTTAATGAATTTGATTACATTTTTGGTATGGATGATGAAAATATATCTGATTTAACCAGCGAAGCTCCTAAAAAATATAAAGCTAAAATTTTGTTGCTTGGTGATTTTGACCCTGAAGGAGATAGAATTATTAGAGATCCTTATTATGTAAGTTTGATCATTATCCTTACCCAGTTTCAGCTCTTTGTATGAAAACGCTAACCATATGTACTTGTAGGTATCATTATTATAAACAAAAAATCTTAGTTTATATCCACAGAAATTGAGGTAGAAAATAAATTGATCCATTTGCCTGTTATAAGTTGTAAGGTGACTAATGGCCAGTTCCTGAACTAATAGATATATCGTGAGGCTTACAAGCAAAAGGCATTAAGTCAAAAAATAGATTTGAGTTATAAGCAATTTAAAGTTTCAGTGAAGTTCTATTTTTTTTGTATAAATTATTTAGGGATTATCAACTGCTTTAAAGAAAATGTACATGCTTTTGGAATACCATTTACTATTTTTATATGATAAACAAAAATGTAAAATCATTTTGACAAATTTTTGCTTGTAAGCCCACGATATATTCAATAAACTTAACAAAGGAATAACTAGAGAAATTTGGTTTTTTGAAACGTATAACAAGAGTTATCCATATTATACGTTATCGAATCCTTGGCCATTTTGTTAAGATTTGTATTTGATAAATATATTTTTGTTTCTCAAATATTAGGAAAATATAAATAAACTGTATTATTTAAGCTCCTCGGATTGTTCCAATGAAGAAATTATAGATGTTCACCATTTTCACATTAGAAATTATTCTTTTGAAGAATATAATTACAACAAATTTAGAAATCTTTTAGATTTACTAAACATACATGGTTGAATTAACATAACATAAGAGCATTTTCTCTTTCACACTTCAAGATTTTTGTTTTTTATTTTCAATGTCCTATGTGCTCAATAACCATAATGAATAACAGATATTTATCAACATCTGTAAAGTGTTTGAAACTTTTAGAAAATTTGCCTAAAATTTTTCGATATATAAAAATGACAACACAATGTTAAATTGTCAAAGTCCATTTAGTGAGAATATGTCAAACCTAGTTATATGATGGAGTACTATGAAGACTAGAGATAAGGAGATAAAGCACATAACATACTGTTGTATTTATTTCTAAATAAGTCTTGAATGTTTTAATTGATAAATTATTTAATTTTATCTAAAAAAAAATACAAATTATGTATGTATGACCAAATTCGTAAAGGTTTCTTAAATGCTGAAATTTGATAAGTACAATTTTGTGGCAATTTTTTTTTTTTTTTTTTTTTAATTTAACCAATATATATTTTTAATAGTAAAATAAAACACAGTTAACAGATTTTTTTATTGTTGTAATACAAGTAAAAAGGGAGATTTGGGAAGGTACATGGTATTACCTCATCCTTTAATTTCAGCTTTCCCCTTTTATTTTGCTAACAGTACCATCAGTAAAAATAGTCTCATAATATTTGATAATATCTTCTAAAAAGCATAGAACAGCATCATCTCTAGAAAGTGCTTTATCGGTACTAGGAACGATATATATGCTGCCACTGTTCTAAACGTTTACAATGGCAAAACATTTACAATGGCACAATTGGGGTCCAAAAAAAATAATAGTAGCAACTCTTTATCTAACATTAAAACTCTATAAAAAATTAAATTTAATGCATAATTATTGTTGTTTGTAAGTCAACATCTATAACTCTAAAATTTTATATTATAGAAACTTGTAATAAAATAAACTACACTTCGTAAGATACATATTGTGACTAGTTTACAATAAATAGTATATTTAGACATGAATACTTTATTTTACTTACAATAGAAGATTTTAAAAGACATTGAATTGATTGCTTCTTGTGTTTTCTTTAGTTTTACATTTGATTTTTATCCTATTTTACAATCTGGAACGACGTAAATCTTGCTTTGATTTTTTTTGTCACTCATGTTACTTGTACTCAGGTATTTTTTTTTCACATTATTTTGATTCTTTTCACCAATTTTTTAAAAAATCACTTCATTTTACCTTGACTTACATAGAAAATTGACTCAACTGTCATTAGAGATACCAACTACAGTCAATTTCGCGAACTTTATAAAAAGAAGGATGGAAATTTGATATTTGACCATTGCTGATTCGCCTCCTTCTCTTTAGTCTTCATATGGAGTACGAGTGCTAGTTATCTATAGATAAGTTCTCAGAAACGCTTGATTATATATTGGATACATAATTTTATCGAACCGATAGTTATTGTTTCATTAAAGAAATGTACTGGAATTCGGCCATAAGACCACCAACTACTGCTGGTTGAATAACTAAGATGAAGTGATTATGCATTTCAAATATTAGGCATTCCAATGACCTGTCAAAATGCTGCCCGTTAGCATTGATATGGCAACCCTGTAGTTGAGTATATTATATAACTGTCATTTCTACAAACTCTGCTGTATTTTGAAAACAGAATTGCTATCTGTAATATGTTTTATGCTTAGAAGGGCAGTATAGTACGAGGTATAGTGCTAATATAGAAACCTATATGGAGTCTTACTAAAGTTGATTAAATTAGATAAAAGTTACGCAGTTTTGTGCCTATTTAAAATGGTACCAAGATACCTTTGATATCTACAGGGAGATTCAAAATATCGGACATAAAATGAATAAATTTAAAGAAATGACAATTTTTATGTTTTGTCCGATAGTTTGAATCTCCATGTAGATATCAAAGGTTTCTTGGCACCATTTAAATGAGCACAAAACTGCGCAACTTTTGTCTAATTTCTTCAACTTTCTATATGTTACTGTTTAAGAAATAGCAGTACTGTCCCTTTGAAATAGTGGGAACCCTATATACCAGTCTACTTTTTTATTTTACATAGTTGAACTACAATAAATTGTCTAAATTATGATTAATTACTGTTAAATTGTTTTATATTTAAGGATTCAGGATCAGAAGGATTTGAAAAGTGTTTCCAGCAATGTCTGAGGTCATCTGAAGCATTTTTGAAAGAAAATAATTAATTTTATATATTTGTTATTGGAATTACAATAAATGTTTAAAATGTAATGGGTTTTTTATATAACCTATTTATAATAGATTATGCCAGGTTAGCGCCAGCAACAGATTATTACGATAGATATTTGTCCCAAGTACCTGCTTACCTAATTAGCCAGCTAAATATTTAATTCCCCTTAAAGGAGAAAATCTTTGCTAAAGAGGTTGATAGTATCTATCTCACAAAGCGACCCAAAGATAAAATAATTTAATTAATAAGTACTTTTTATTTTATTCATGATACGCCCGTTTAAAAATGAATAACGTGTTTCTTAACGTCACAAAGTAGCCCTTCGAAATATTGATAAGTTTGCCGCTGATTCAAAGTAGTTACCTTACTTGGCTAGATATCTGAAGCAGGTAGGCAAAAGAAATATTTATACAGGAATAAATATGAAATAATCTCACTTTTTAGATTTCCGCGTTAGCGAAGCATAAAGAATGAAATGATCCCGGCAAATGCCGTAATAAATTGAGTTCTGAAAATGAACAACATACAAGTCGTTGAGAATAAATATTATTTTCTATTTATCAATACAAAAATGAAGTTAATCATATGCAACTAACAATACAAGAAAGTAGTAATATTGGTTGCCTAGATGTCAGTAATTTTTTATTAAAACACAATTTTATAAATAATTAGTCAAAATTAGAAAAACAAACTTGTATGTTATACGGTAGGGAATGCCATTTTATGTAACTCGTTACATAAAATACGGCATTTTGTAACTGGTTAACTACATTGTTTTAAGTCTGCTGCTGATGCTGTAAAGACATGGCCATTTTCTTGAATTGTTAAGAAAAGAAGAATATTTTGACTTGACACATAATAACAATAATATAAATATAACCTCACAATTTATAATTATAAAAAAAATTAAAAATTACTTTTAAATTTGAATTTAAACTTAAAACAGTTGTGGTCTATAGCAGTGTTTTTATTGTATGAATATGTTAAATATTTTCGAGAAGTTGGTAAGTATTTAAATAAAATTTTCCTTTTAAGTAATAAATATAGAATAATTTTAGCTTTTTTATAATGAAAATACGAATAATATTGAAGATCAAATCAGTACAGTGATTTTCATTGCTTCACTGACTCAAGATACTTTGGAGCCTTTGGAAATAGACACTCTGTCTAAAATATGTTCAATTTTTTATAAAACCTTATATGGAAACGATTTTAAGAACTTTAAGTGTTTTTTAAATTCTGAAATAATAAAAATAGAACTATTTACAATTAGAATTTGTAACAGGTCTTTATGGCAAGCTGTATGGTTTAACTCTATAAAGAATTTTGAATTACTTCCATCAAGAAACAAAATAGTATCCCACAAAGATGATACAAATTTTTTGATGTGGTGTTTACATTATATATTAAATAATGTAGTTATTCTTGATAAAAATTCTCTTTATTTGCTTCGTACTCTTCATTTAATTTTGAATCGAACAGATTTGCTATTAATTTCTCTTAGTAGCTCCATCATTAAATTAATGAATAAAGTGGCTTTGTCACCACATCACGGCTTTAAACAACTTGCATGTAATATCTCCAAAATAGTTTTGAAGTTCTTGGAACCCTCACAACAATTTGAAATATGTAATATTAGTTCATTGCCTATAAAAGGAATAGAGATGTCTGAAGTTGTAGATACTTTTACAGACACCTTAATTAAAGAAAATCTAAAAAATATTGTTGCAAAAGTATTGATGATGTTTTCCAATAATATAGAAAATAAAGATGGAAGTTATTTGTATGAAAAAGTATTATTATGCACTTTTGAAGAATGGATTGATTTAGTGTGGCCACTTTTCTTTAAACATTTGCAAGAAATAGAATATGAAGGGTGAGTAAAATCGGTAGTTAAGATAATTATATTTTTATTTTAAATACTAATATTCTTATGTATTTTGTCTATTTTCAGTGAATTTTTCCAAAGCTTGGTTAAATATTGGATACCACTTACAATAAATGCATACAGAACAGATTTTTACTCATTTATAAGGAAGCAACCTATAGATTTAAGATTAAAAGCACACATATTATTAGAATCAAGAAGAAAAGGTTTCCTCTTTGAAAGTGAAAAGTCAATTTTTAATCACTTGGAAACAAAAGATTTAAGATTAAGAATTATATCAACTTACAGAAAAAAATCTCTTGTTCCAGAAACTGAGGATATAAACTTTTTAATGGATTATCTTTACTCAAATTTAAAAACTTATCTGGAAGATGAAGAAGTCGACTGCATTCAGAAATTTTTTTCTCAAATAGCATTTGTTTCTCATACTGAGCTAAAAAAGGGTGATAGTGATTTTGGCTTCTATGAAGATTTTGCGTACAAAATTATGAATTATTGTCATAAAACTTTTGCAACAGAATTTTTTGAAGTGGGAGCTCAAGTATTACATAATTTTTTAACAATTTTAAAAGGTAAGTATTACAGTTCTTGTAGAGTTCATTCAATTTATATGTAAGTTTACAAGTTTGTATGCATGATCATGATTTGAATAACCTGGGAACTATTCATTCATATACAGGGTGTTAGCATATTCGACTGACAAAGCTCTACCACAGAGTGGGAATATATGGGAATATATACTCATTCTTAAAATACTTAGGTAGTTACCAGAGATAACAAGAGGAGATGTAACTACAAACAAATATCGTGTTGTCCTGAATAAGACATATTCTAAAGGACACAGGAGGGTATAATAAATGCTATTGTCATGCCTATTTCATTATTTTCGTTTTGTTTACAAAATTATTTACATATCTTAAAAAAGCTAAAATAATTCAACCTATTTTATTGCAACTGAACCCAAAAATGTTTGAATCATTAGTTATATAAAATTTAACTAAATTATATATAATTTCATTAAATTAGATGTAATAATTTTCAATAAATTCCAAAACTTTGTTATGTTAAGTTAGATATCAAGTATTTTTTATGAAATGTGGCAATGGCTAGCATTTTGTAGGTGAAGCATATTACGTTTTATTATGAGCTTACACAACGGCTTACAAAATATTCATTCATCATTTCATTAAGTTATTTAGTTGTTAGAATTTACTTAATTTACTTATCATAGATGTACCAATTACAAAAAATATCTTATTATTTTTAAATAATTATTATTATTAATGTTTTGAATTAACCATGGTTATCCATCAGCTTTAAAAAATCAGGAGAAGAAGCGAAACATTAAAATTGGTCCTGGGAATATTTCTAAAAATCTCAAGGTACCTAGTTAATCTTATGTAAAAATCGAATTTGTGCAAAACATCTGCATTTTTTTAATAAAACACTTTTAAACAGATTTTAAAATGATTCAATTCAATTGAGCGTTGCCTTAAAGTTTCTGTAATGTAATTCGGCAAAACTTTTGACTTCAGTACCTAGGTATAGGTCAAAAAGTTATTGTTATTTCACTATACAAAAACATCTTGAGGAAACTACGATTCTAAAATATAGTTTTTTTGACTTTGATTTAAGGTTCGCGTTTCCACGGATAATTTTTTTATCAAAGCATGCAATATTTATCACAACATTTAAAATAAAAATTTTCGTATCTACGAATAATTCAGTACATTAGGATCAATTAAATAAATAAATCACATTAAGAAGCAAAACCTCTAAATATATTTTTTAGATCTTTAAAATCACGCGGATAAACATTATTCTATCAAAAGAGCAGAAAATAATATTTAGCAGGTAATTTCAAATAGGTACAATTTTTTAACGAATAATTCAGAACATTACTATCAATTTAATAAATAAAAAAACATTTAGGAACAAATCTTTTACTTGTAATTTTTAGCTATTGCATTCAGGTATAATTTCCATTAACTACTTTGCTGAAACAACACTTAAAACCTATTTTAAAAGAAATACTCTGTAAAAACTATAATCTATTTATAAAGATTACTATTCGAATATTTGACTATTCGAATAATCGAATATTCGAATATTCGACTATTCGAATATTCGAGTATTTGAATATTCGACTATTCGAATAATTTCGATCTAAAAATATCGAATTTTGAGTATTCGAATAATCGAATTAACCGAATACAATTCCGAGCCCTAATTTATTCATTGGAAATACCAACGGTTTACATAATCAAGCCGATATTTTTGTGTGTTGCACAAAATCATCTCGGGTGCAAAGTATGCACAGTTGAATTTTAAGCTGTTTACGTTTGAAAATAAACTATACACAGTTTTAACGTCCTTATTTGAAAAACAACCTCGGTAGTCTTTAAATTTTTCACTATCAAATAAACTTGCAATTGTTAGGTGAGTAGTAAAACTAAAACGTTCATTTACCTGCACTACTATTGTATCACAAATTTCCTTACATATCCTTAAATTAGGAATGGGGTCCTCCTTTTCAACAAACCGTCTCTTCTTGCTTGTATTTGGACCTGATTGGGTGTTGTCGTTTAAGTTTAGTTCTTGTGGGTCTTGTTGTGATTGCCATTCTTCATGAATTAGCGTGTCTATATTATGTCTAATATTTTGAATAGCTGTTGCAAAATTTGATATGTTTATCTTAACCTTGAGAGCATCGAGCTGTCTACTCTGCAGTTGATCAAAAAGTATATCGCAATTTGGCATTATTTTGCTGAAGATAAATAACCAGAAATTAAAATCTGTCTTTCAAAATTTATCAACCTTTTAGTCTGATTAATAGTTTTTTTTATCGAATTTTGTGTTCATAATTTCTTCGAGACATTTAATCAAATCCTCTTTGTAAACATAAATAGTATTGACTAACTTCGATGTAAAATTCCATCGTGTAGGAGCATTTTAAAGCATACGACTCTGAAGAAAAGGTGTTTGGCAATTTTAAATCTCCCATCAAAAAATTTTTCTCTTATATTTTCAAATTAGAAAAAATATTTATATCTCTATTTGATAGTTTGTCAACTAAGCCTGGAATTTCCAACGCATACCTTTTTGAGATAGAATTTGGTTATCCTTGCCAACAATTTGCGAAAATGTACATCATTAAATTATTTATAAGACTTAGAATTTTTTATACTCTTAAATATGCAAACAGAGATTTGAAATCCTCGAAAAAGTCAGACAAAACCAAAAGAAAAATTAAAATTTTGTCCCATTCATAAATATGATTGATTTTTTTTTCATCATATTTTTGACTGCTTTATAAAAAAAGTTATTTTTCTTTGTAGTTTTATTTCTTTACTATTCCAAAGGTTCAACTAACGTTTTTTCGTAATCACAATAAATAAATTATTATCATGGTACAACAAACGCGCACCTATCTGGTCTAAGTAATCTGTGCCATGAGAACAGCACGTCACGATGAGGAAGGGCAGCGCCCTGCTTGTGACGTATAATCCATCGCATGTGTTCATCTCTTGCTAAGCGATATTGCCGTGGTCCGTGTTTTTCGCATCATAATGAGAGATAAATCAACAGAGGCACACATTTAATGTGCCCACTTAATTTCGGAATTCTCGGAATGTCGCTCAACGTCCGGTCGTCCAGTGTCGTGCCAACGCGGTTTGCGCTGAATATTAGATAAAATAATAATAGGCATTGAAGAAAATATAAAATATGTAAGTTATTTTTTTTTGGTTTATTATACTAGGGCACGTGCCCAAGTGCCCTTACGGGCAAACCGCCACTGCTAACAAATGTGTATGGCCCTCAAATTCTCCACAATTCTTCAGTATATTCCCTCCCTTACCTCACACCACACGTTTTTCCGCTCCTGATCTACAAGGGGACTGATTTTATTGTTGGCATCACAGATATTCTATTTTATGAATGTTTATATCTCTGTTATCTCTATTCGTTACCAAGATACAGGTTGTTAAAAATTTAAATTCAAAATTTGCCATAAATCAGAAACTTCTTTCAAATTTGGTGTCCAATATGTTCTTTAAGAAAGTAATATTTTGAAGTTTTGAAAAATTTAACCAGTGGCGCGTTATCAAGGTTAGTGGCAATTTTTTTCCCTATTTTGTACTCCACTGGAACCGAGACTGGAACAAACATTTTATTTTATTTATCTATTCATTTTATGTTTAAAAAGTAAAAACTGTTTATGAAGCTAAAATGATCGGTGTTGCAGAAATTTGCTTCTAAACAACAATGTGAATGTACTTAGATAATTTGTGACGACTTAATATTTCTAAATTCTAATCTAGTAAGCATGTGTAAAATTTTTAATATTTGACAAGTTCTTGGTTAATCAAATTTGAAAAAATATTTAATTTTTGGTAAATTATTTATTTTGACTTAAAACTTTTAAACCCTGTATCTCGGTAACTAAGCTCTTGAAGGGTTCATGTTCCTATATTAAATTTCATTTTTATTATTTTATTAAGTACCTTATGCATTAGACATGTGCCTTATTTCTATAAGTTTTTCTAAGTGTTTTTTAGTTGTAATTACTTGTTTTTAATTTCTAAAATGGGTATAAGTGTAGAGATTAATATTATTTCTAAATTATTTGTATATTCTATGATAAATAAATACATCAATTAAGGATAATTCTCTGTGGTAGAGAGCTTTGTTAGTCAAATATACTAACACCACTCTGTATATCCTTAATACTAATTTTAATTACTTAAAATAATTTCTAATAATAAGTTCTATCAATAATTTCAAATAATAATTTCATTTGTAAAGCGATATTTTAAAGCTAAGTGCAGTCTCAAAAACAGGTAATGTCATAATCGGGTGTAACTGTTAAAAACTGATAAAATGTCAATATACACTGCTTTAAGTTTTCCATCATGACTCCAGCAGAATGGAATAGAAACACAATGGTATATTATTTAGAGATAAACAGGAATATGTTGCCGATGTTTGGACCACAATACGTCGTTAACAGAACTTAACAAGCGTATCTCAAAATTTCAAGAGTTGAGTAATTGCAGTTTAAAATTTTTTATTAACTTCAATCTGGTTTTTTTTAACTTTAAAAGTTGCTTAAAAAGGCTAATAACACAACGATGTGTCAGTGCCAATATATAACATATAAATATTGTAATGGCTCCACCCAGTAAAAGGCAGACTTATTCCAATACTCTACGAACACTTAAGTTTGCGGCTTCAATGGCTTCTTACAATAATTTCAAAATAAAATCAAAGCCTAAATAAAAAATTTGAATAATAAAAAAAAATCCTCTTCTTCTATAACTTCTTTTCTATACTTCCTGCTCTCATGCCTGTTAATAGATGCCCTCTCTGCATTCCCTGATAATCTCCAACTCCTGCCTTTTTAATATTTTCAGTTGTCCTACCTCCTGTTTATAACTGCTTACTACTCTTACTATATAATATATAAATTCCGAAAACGACTTTTGCTGGACCTAACTCAAATCCAAGAATTTTTGAGATTTCGTCTTGTTAGTATATGCAATATCCCATGAATGCCAATGAAAGGGCGTGGTTAAACTAATTACCCTCTTTATTTCTTTCACGTCCAGATATAATTAAGCATATCATCTTTATTTTGCTGGATGGGTTGGTTAACGCACTGTATGCCATTTAGTTAAAAGTGCATGAGTGCGTTATATTTAATCATAATTGGTTATTCAGGTTTATTGATTTACATATTTGAATTTACTAATTTATAAAAAATTGTTCTGGCATTTTCTATCCATTTTTTTATTTATTTTTTTAAGTGTTTGTATAGTTTTATATTTTTTACTGAATCCAGTATTTTTTAAATATTCTAAGCGCTAGACAAGAAAAACATTTTTGACCTAATGAATATAAAATAAGCAATTAACAGTAGTCAAATATATTTTATTTAAAATGTGGAAATAATTTACAAATATTACTAAAAATAGTATGTTTTTAGGATCTCACAAACAATTGAAACTAATTTACAAATTAGAGAAAAGAGACTACTATGAAAATGGAGAAAATTTTCTTTTCATTAAATTAAAAGAAAAGCAATTATTGGAACAAAATATTTTTCCCCAAATTCGAGATTGTATTTTAAGAATAGATTGCTACAGTTTAATATTAACAAATTTAATAAGACAACATTACAATAATTATCAATTTATGACTCCTAGTTTGTTTAAAAACATTCTCACAAAAATAGAGTCTACTCCAAATATTCAAAATACAGAAAGAATTATCAACTGTTCAAATTTGTTATTTTCACAAACGAAATCCATAGAAACATTAATATTTATAGAAGAAATAGAAATTCTTGTTTTACGAAAACTTGAAACCAAGGATCCGAATGAGAAAGATTTATTTAAAAAGGTAAATCAATATTGTAATTAAAAATTTATAACATTGTAATGAATGTAAAACAAACAAGGTTATTGACCAAAAATATATTATTAGTAAATAACAAACTAGTAGAATAAATATTTTCACTGTTTTTATACACTTTTGATTCACCTCAAAACACGCTTTTTAACTATATTTTTCTAGGAATCTATTTTCCATATTGTTGTAACCTACTTTATAATAGGGTGATCATACAGCATTTCTCTTGTACAGCATTTTCAAAGTCTGTCCAGTATTTCGACGCTAGAAAGACAAACACATTTTAGCTATTTTATAGAAAACGCAATTAAACTTTTTGTGTATAGTGCTTTGCTTATGCATCCGTCCACATATTATTTGCGATATTATGTTAACTATAATAAGGAAATATTGTCAGGTCGCAGATATCCACTTTAACAGATTTGTGGTGGTCGTAAGTCAAATTTTGCATTTTTCGACTTACGCCCTTTTGCCTTTTTAGCGACGATTTGATCTTGTACAGCAAAACACCATATGTGTCCAGCAAAACGCTCTAATTGACCAGAAAAATGCCATTATAGTCTGTCCAGCAATGTAATGCATACTTTATTGAAATATGGGGAGCAGCTAAAAAAATTAAGTCTTCAGGTCCTTTACAAAACTTTGTTATCTTTGGGAGCTAAAAAAAAGATCCTTCACCTCTCCAGTATTCATCATCAATGTTGTACAAAAATAAATATGGTCACTCTACTTTATAATTTTGTTTACTTAAAGTTCAATTATTTTTTTTAAATTAAGTTTTATTGCTTTAAGGTATTGTATTTAGAGATTTTGACAGTTGCGACGAAAAGACAATTCAAAGTTAAGAAGATTGATGAGCTCGTCCAAAAAAGTTTGTTTTATATAGATCATATTTTGGAAAGCAACTTCTTACAAGGAATTAGCTACAGATGTACAAAAGTAGTAGAAACATTTATAACTGTAAGTATGTTAGAACGTTGTTATTGTTGGTCCTTAGATTTATAAAGAGTTGAACAAAATGAGCGGAACACTATATTAACTGATCTTTCTTGGTCCTGATCAATTGCAAGGAGAACAGTATCATCAGCGAATGTAGTTACATTCGTATCTTCCAGAGTTGGCAAGTCACTATTGTAGAATAAGTATAAGATGGGTCCAAGAACATTTTCTTGAGGCACTCCAGCTTTTATTTCTTTTAAATTAGAATATTCGTCTTCTTCCTGCTTGCTTCTAAAAAGCCTGTCTAAGAAGATGTTGTATTATCGCTCAGGGAGTATTTTTTTGTTTTTAAAACCAACCTTTATTCCACACCTTGTCAAAAGCTTGGGCTACGTTTAAAAATACTGAAGCTTCAAGGGCATCTTTTATGACATCTGTGATTCTATGTACTTGGTCAATAGTAGAATGTTTCTATCGAAACCCGAATTGGAAATCGAGTATACATTTTTTATCCTCTATCAGAGGTCTTAATTAGGTATTCCAAACAAAATGGCTCCCAGTGGGTTTTGGCAGGATATGACATAGCATTATTATGGCAATTCTGTAGGCCTGGTGATTTTGCCTATTCTGTAATTGGGAATTTCCTGTAGAATGGTTTTTAAAAATAAATAAATAAATAAATGGATTAGCCGGTTAATTTTTTTTTTTTTTTTAAAAATCGGAAATAATTGATTTATTTATTTATTTATTTTACAAACTGTTCTACAGGAAATTCCCAATTAAAGAACAGGCAAAATATGACAAAACAAATATCTCAGAAAAATACAATGTAAAAAATTACAAAACAGAAGAATAAAGATTTAAGAAAAAAAAATACTATTTAAAACGATAAAATAATCACAAAAGCAAATGTTTTATGTCCTAAATTCTAATGTTAATAAATATATCCAACTCAGAGTTAATGCTGTTGCAATTACTACACAAGACATATAATGGAGATTTGTTTAAAATGTTCTTGCGAGGAGTGGTCAAATAAAAAGTATCATTGCACCTAGAAGTTTGGCGGGGAATCCTAAAATTTAACATATGTAGCATGTCTTTACAATTTATTTTAATAGTTATGAATTTGTGCAGTGTAAACACTGAAAAATACTTGCGCCTTGCTTCAAGACTCGAACAAATATGTTTTATTAACAGTTCGTTATGCGGGGTGCCAATTGCAGGAGATACATTTGGTCTTCTCGGAAACTTAAATATTTGAGAAACTGTCTTTGAAGAACTTCTAACCTGGTAACTGGGACTCCAAATAACCGAAGCATATTCAGCTTTGAGCGGATAAATGTATAATAAAGATACTTTAACGTACTTGCATTCTTAAAATCCCGCCAGATCCGAATTATGAATTCGTACATGCGGCTTGCTGCAGTTAATATACCGTTCAATGTGGTCATTGATGGATGGTGCTGAATCAAAAGTAACGCCCAAATCCACAAAGTTATTCGGTCTGCATAATAGAGTGTTGCCTATACGGTAATTGTAAGCAATTGGATAAGAGCTTAGTGAATAAGACATGACATTACACTTCGAGGGATTCAAATTAAGGTTATATTCCCGACACCATTCGATAACTCGCAGAAGATTTTCAGATTGCCTTTCACAATCCGCGACGTTCTTGTTATGTAAAATTTAAAATCGTCGTCTTAAATTAAAGAATCAACATAAACTAAATCCACGATGTCATTCACGAAAATGTTAAACATCAACGGGCCTAGATTTGATCCCTGAGGAACACCGGAGGTGGCAGAATACTGATCAGACTTAAATCCATTTAATTTAACGTATTGTGTTCTGTTGGTGAGATGTGATATAAGAAGCCGAATAAGATTGTTTGAAAGTCCAAAAGAGGCTAGTTTTTTTACCAAAGTACCGTGGTCAAGCTGATCAAATGCCTTTGTCATATTCGTATAAATAACATCTGTCTGAGTTCAGCTGTCGATGTTTTCTGGAATATACTGTTGAACGACCTTTTACAAAGCCATGTTGATCCGATATTATGTTGCGGACGTGTTGGTAAACTACGTTCCAGCAACATTTCAAATACTTTACTAAAGTTACAGATGATAGAGATAGGGCGATAGTTTTCCACCTCAGTTTTATTTCCTTTTTTATATATGGGACAAACCTTAGACTTTCCACACTGACGGTATGGTTTTAGTGCGGATGAAGGTATTTTATGAGTACAGTTAAAGGATGAGCTAGTGCTACAACACAGTCTTTTAAAAAGAAAGCAGGAATATGCTCAGACCAAGTAGTCCGCTTGGGCTTTATTGATTTTAAAGTATTTAATGGCTTTACTGATTTTAAAAGTATTTAATACTTGGTTTTCTAAAAGGCTAGTAATGTTTAAGTGATACATGTGGCTTTCGTTTATCGGGACATTATTTGTGACCGAAGACTGCACATAAGATTTACTAAAAAAGGTGTAGCAAAGCCATTTAATATATCTGATGGATTAAGAAGAAAGTTACCTTCATAGATCATGGTATTACCAACTTTAAGGTAGCATTTTTATTAATCGATATTTCTGATTCAGCTTTTTTAAGATATTGTTTATAGGCTCCATGACATCAACTTTAACTTGACTTCTTATGCGTCTAAACTTTCTCTTATACTGTCGCCAGAGATTGGATTTTTTGCGAATTAAATTTATAATAGCGCCATTATACCAGGGAGGATAATTTTTCTTACTGCGGGCTGTATATCTAGGTACACATTTATATAAGACATTGTATAATTTTCCATTAAAGTATAAAAGCTTTCCAGAAAAGTCCAGTCAATTTTGGAAATCATGTCATACAACATCGGAAAATTCGCTTTACGAAAGTTATAGCAATTTTTGAAAGATGATTCTAAATTTCTATTATTCAGTTTTTCTACTGATTTTAATGTAATATCCAAAGCTGGATGATGACAATCTTCCTTTATTAACGGATCTATGGATTTTTCAACAAAACAGGAATTATTAAAGTACACTAGGTCTAGTAGCCTATTATTTTCATTAAAAACAAAGTTATTCTGTTTTAAATCAAAAACATTGCAAAATTGTTTAATGCATCTAATCTTGCATTCGACTGAGAGTTGGTGAGAAACAAAGCATATTCTGATATATTGAAATCACCTACAAACAAGATTTTATTTACTTACAAAAAATCCAAAGACTCTAGCAACTTATCGGTTATATTCGATCAATTGGATATTTTCGATTATTTTCGACTAATCTATTATTTTAGATTAATGGGCGTTTTTCCTGGTTTTCGCATCGTTATCTCTGCAACTTTCCAGCATACAGGAACATGTTTTAGTTTGTAAGCTACATTTAAGTATGATTTCAGCATGATAATACCTTTTCTAGGCAATTGCTTCAAGATTTCACCAGTAATAAATTGATGCATGGTTCTTTCTTCGGATTAAGGTTAGTTTTAATCGCTTCTGCTACTTCTTTCGGTATAAGGGTGTCGCTTCTGCTACTTCTTTCGGTGTAAGGGTGATGTTTTCGGATTTTTAATTGTCTAATATAAGCAAACTTTTTTCTTCCTGTATCTCATTGGGTGTAAAAATGTCTGGGAAAGTTTCAGCAAACACGTCTGCTTTCTGTTTATGGCTCATACTCCGTAAATTGTTAAATTGAATCTTAAACCGTGACAGAACAATGTCAATTTTACAATGAATAAAGTGACTTGGATATCACCACATGAAAAAACATACAACCAAATTGATCAACATCACAAAAAGAAAATATTCGACAATAAAAGATGTAAGGATATTTAGAGGAGCATGTGCAGATTCCGATTATTACATGGTAATTACTACCTTAAAACAAAAAGTGAAAAGAGCTAAAAAAATTAACGCAATGCAACACAAATGGGATGTAGGTCAACTAAACAACGAAAAAGTAAAAAATAAATATGCAGAGAAAGTAAAATCAATATAAATGTGCTCTTTATACGCCAAATTTTGAAGTATAGAATTTTTATGAAGACTAGAGATAAGGAGGCGAATCGGCATACTCAAAATACGGTCCCAAAAAACGCACGTTAATTGAGCTTTTATAATTAACCGCATGGGCGCTGGTACTGCTTACGGTGTTCAAAATACATGGCTTCTTACGAGAATTATACATAATTTTGTCAAAATAATAAAAATAAACTTGTTTATAGCTAAATAAAGCACAGAACATACTGTTGTATTTATTTCTAAATAAGTCTTGCATGTTTTAATTGATAAATTATTTTATTTTATCTATATAAAATACAAATTAGGTAGGTATGACCAAATTCGAAAAGGTTTCTTAAATGCTGAAATTTGATAAGTACAATTTTGTGGCAATTTTTTTTTTTTGAATTGAACCTATACCAATAAAAACTCCCAGGCCGCATATTTTAGTAAGTAATAGAAATATTTTAATTCTGTAAATCGACCTGTTTTAGCATTTTCTAAAAATCCAATGATTAATGCCGAAAAACAGGATGAAACTATTTTGAATGACCCACTCTGTATATAAAAAATGGCTAGATTTATCGAATTAGTTCATAAAACAAAATTTGCTTAAAAATGCATTTTTTACAAGATGCGCTACATAAGAAAGATCCTCTCATCGAAAAATAATTATTGAGTGCAGCGCCATCTACATATTGACCTATTTAAAATCAATTTATATCTAAAACTGAAGCTCTCTTAGCGCTCTATGAACTGGCTTCTACAGAATTAAAATATCTCTATTACTTACCAAAATATCCGGCCTGGGAGTTTTTATTGGTACACCCTGTATATAGTTTCAAGAGCAAAATAAAACACAGTTAAGGGAGATTTGGGAATGTACATGGTATTACCTCATCCTTTAATTTCAGCTTCCCCTTTTTATTTTGCTAACAGTACCATCAGTAAAAATAGTCTCATAATATTTGATATCTTCTTAAAAGTATAGAACAGCATCATCTCTAGAAAGTGCTTTATCGGAACGATATGTATGTATGCTGCCAATGTTCTAAGTGTTTAGTATCCTATAAAAATTATTTACAATGACACAATTGGGGTCCAACAAAAAAATAACAGTAGCAACTCTTTATCTAACATTAAAACTGTATAAAAAATAAATTTATGTATAATTATTGTTGTTTGTAAGTCAGGATCTATGACTGTAAAATTTTATATTATAGAAACTTGTAATAAAACTACATTCCGTAAGATACATATTGTGACTAGTTTACAATAAATATTATATTTAGACATAAATACATTATTTTACTTACATTAGAAGCTTTAAAAAGACCTTGTGTTTTCTTTAGTTTTACATTTGATTTGTATCCTGTTTTACAATCTGGAACGACGCAAATCTTGCTTTGATGTTTTTTTAAAAAATCACTTCATTTTACATTGATTTACATAGAAAATTGACACTGCTGTTATTCGACATGCCAACTACACAGTCAATTTCGCAAACTTTATAAAAAGAAGGACGGAAATTTGAAATTTGACCATTGCCGATTCGCCTCCTCTCTAGCCTTCATAGGATTTTTTTTTTTTTAGTATTAATTTATATATATATATTTTTTTTTTACTTTGGTGTCATCGGCATCGGCTACTAAGGCCATTATCCTCGTGTTCTGTGTAGGCTTTGTTACTGTTTCACAGCGCCACTTTAGGAACAGCACTGTTAATTAGAACCCAACAGTGAATGGTCGAGTGGGGAATCCTACCAAGGCATTAAAATTTTAAATAATTGAATTAAATAAAAAATCCAGGTCATCGGTGGGATTCGAACATGGGACCCTTGGATCCACAGGCAGAGACTCTACCACTGAGCCACCCATCCCTTTTCATTTATATTGTTACGAAATTTTTTTTACTCGAAATATTATGTAAAATATGACAAAATTTGGCATCCATACGAGAAAAAATTTGTTCTTTTTATTGGTATTTTCAAACATTGGTATTGCCATTAAAAAACTAATGATTGCAGCATATTATCTCGAATATTGATAATATAATAATATTAACAATATATAGGCATCTGAAAAACCAAATAGACCTGTCCGATTATTTTTTTGTTAGGAGGCGTCCATTAATTACTTGAGGTATTTTTGAGGATTTTTTTGACCCCCTGGTGAGATTTCGTAAGATTTTCCTCACCTATCTTCTCCCTCCCCTAATCTCACGTGAGATTTTTGAAAATTTGTGTTTTGGGTGTAAATGCGTTAGATTATTAAGAAAACAATATGTTCTATTACTTTTATTTAAGACTAGCAAAGACTAGTATTTGAGAATATTGCCGTAATATAAAATTTCTAGAAACATTCTTTACTTTAATTTAACTTTACTTTCACGCAATTTTTCACTGTTCTACTAGAAAAAAATTACGTCAGATTTACAAAGACCCCCTCTCTCCCAAGTGAGATTTGGAAAGATTTAGCTTGATCCCCTCCCACCCTTCAACACCTCACGTAATTAATGAACGCCCCCTTACATGTCCATAATGCCCAAAAGAGCATAAAAGCAGGATTTTTACCCATTTTGTCCAATCTGTACAACTTATGTAAACATAAAAAATAGAAAATATAACAAATACACAGTTTCTCTTATTTTAAATTACCTTTGATTTAATCCATTATTATATTTTCAGCGAGTAATATTTTTAATATCACAAAACATGCACGAACTGTGGCCATCAATAGAAAGGGAATATGCAATCCAGACTCTGTTAAATATTATTGAAAATAGCAATATGAAGAAACCAGTATCTGTTAGTACAGACCTTTTGAGACAATTTGGTTACAAATTGGAAGAAGATGAGTTTGGTAAAAATTTTAAAATAGTCTTTTTAAATGAGACTTTGGAAGCAATTAAGTACGTACCTCCGACTAAATATTTAAAAATAAGGAGAAATCCTGAGAGCAGACTGGTTATCCATGCATTGTGTATTTCACAAAAAGACCCGAAAAAGGTGAATATATAATCTTCATAAGAATCAATCGAATTTCAATTTATTCTAAAAATATTTCAGCCCTATTTACATTGGACGATGAAGTACCTCATAGAGCTTATTTCTAATCCTGTTATAACAGATTTAGCGATATCTTCTTGTCTGCACACCATCGAGCTACTTATTTGTGATAACAGATTGCAACAACAGACATTATGTTACATTCCAGACATTATTTTTCATTGTGTTGAACTTTCTAAACGACCAAATTGGATAGTACGGTGAGTAAATTCTGAAAATTGCTCCTACATTTTACCCAATTACATAAGGTTTAAATGGACTCGCATTTTTTCGTTTCGCGAACGCGAGATGGCCCTACAAGCAATACAGTGACTCTATATTGTTAAAGTCACTGTATACGTTCATATTTTATGAATAAAACTATTAACCTCTCTACTGGATTTTAAATCGTGAAAAAAACGTTCGCTAATACTCAACAAATGCTGAATGGAAATAGAGCGTTCTCGTTATGTACTATTTCCATATCTACACCAGCCATTTTTCGTGTTTTTGGTCTGTGTCTAGTGTTATTTTTGTTTGACTTATTATTTTATATTTACTATTTCTCATTGAGTTTTTGTGTTTTTTATTAAAAATGCCACCTATACCCAAGAAAAAATCAAAAAGAGGCTTAAGTACATTTAAAAAAGATAGTATATAGGAAAAAATTACTACATATAAATTTTTTACATTAAAAACTCTGATTCCGATCACAATCGAAATAGTAGAATTATTAAAAATTAAAAACATTGTTGATTTTTCTAAAACGCCTGCAAATATTTTCGTATTCACTAACTTACTTCTGTCATTATTTAAACGGATTCCTTTAAAATAGTCCTCAAATAACAATCGTTTTTAAAGGGATGTTAAAATTCGCCTTTAATTTTTAACGGTTTTGAATTGAAAATTGAGGATTTGTATGGTTATGTTTTCAAACTAGTTCAAATAAATCTTAAAAGCGATGTTTTTAAGTGTTATCCTGCCATTTTTAAGGGAATCCGTTAAAATAAATAATATTTAACAGGCCTCTAAAATTTGTATATACAGAATACCATTTTTGGTCAAAAAAATTAACGGACCGCTAAAAGTTTAATTTTTAAAGGTCTCTAAATTTTAACGGATGTGTTACAGAATAGACCTTCTAGTAGGTCAGACCAATGCATTTATTTGTATGATACCAAAAGGAGACCACCACCAGGAGGAGACTCTATTTGAGTATCTTTAAACTGGAGACGGCTGGAACTTCTGCTAGTTTAAAATAGATGGCAGAATAAACTTACTAAAAGTTTCCATTTTTATTCCACTGTGTATTGTTTTTATTGGATTTAAAAATCTGTCAATGTAAAGAAAATTGATTTTCGTAATATTGTTTTTGCTCCGCCGACAATACCAAGAAATGTGTATAAATAATAGGTATTCTGGTTTAATCCTAGAACACGCAATCTTAAAGATTTTTTGTGTGCAAAAAGAATAAGTGGCACTAGCCCTGGGTTAGCACAATTTTGAGAAAAAATGGCCCTTTTCGTCAAAAAAGAATTATAAAGTTTATTAAATATGCATTATTCTTTAAACGATTAGGTACTATTAAGTTGTAGTAAATCTTTTTCTTAACAAAATTGAAGAATAATTTTTTAAATTGGGCATAATATAAAGCCGTAATTGTTAAATTAGCAAAGTAATAATTTCATAAGGCCTCCACTTAAAGCAAATTCGGGAACGAATCAGGACGAAAACCAAAATCTCCTGGGATCTGGTAATGCTTTAAACGTTTTTAATAATGCCTCATAATGATGAAGATACAGATAATGAAGAATGCAATAAGAGTTCTGAAATCGATATTTCATTAGAGAAGACGCTTCCTGTAACACTAGAAGAATGTTTCACTATGTACTTTGCCGGATACTTAATAAAAAAATGCGTAAAAAAATTTAAATGTGAGGAGTGTCAAAATTATTTCGAAGGAAAAGAAAATGTTTTGAATGATGAACACCAGTTACTCATTTTTATAATCTAAACGAGCAATCCAGGCTAAAATGTCCATCATCACTATTGGGCCAATTTGCGCTAAAATATCGCTACAAACTGTTACGCAAAACATAGAAGAATATTGTACCAAAAAAGTTTTTTATAATTTGCAAAAAATTATAATTGAGAAAATAAAAACATTTTTAGCAGAATGGTGTAATTGTAATAGTAACTGTGTGGAACACAGACAGTATATGTCAGATTTATTAATTACAACTCAAATTTTCAAATATTGTAAGAACCTGTCCAAATTAGAAGCGGCAAAGAAAACGAGGAAACTACAAGCCAGTAAAAAAAATGTAAAGTTGTCTATAGTGCAAAATAGACATAAATTAATTCCTCATTTTCCTTATATTTTTAATGTACCTACTTATTATACCTAACAAAATATTTAATATTAATACATTTATTATATAATAATAAATAACCTCTGCACGTGTAGTTATTTCCCCTAAGAAAGCTAATAATTATTGTAAGAGGCTGGTACTTAGGTTATTTAAAAATCTTGTCTTTTATTAATTATAATAATATTATTTTATATTACCAATTTTTTTTATCCAAACTAGACCTACCTATCTACATTCTATTAAAAACTATAAGTATAATTTCGTAAATTACGGTCCTGGATAACAAACATTCATACGATTTTATTATTTCCATCATATTTATACGAAGATGAATGACAAAATTAGCGATTTACCTAAATAAAGACAAAAATGTTAAATACCTATCGATAGCTTGAATTCACGCCAAACATGAAATATACGTAATATGGTAGACCACCAACTTAAAGACTATCTAAGCGACTACTAATAAATGGCAATTATAAAGATGGTAAACTATTATTCGATAGTTGCCAGTTTTGTTAAAATAGAGCGAAATAAATACGATGTACGATCCAAAAAATTCTCAAAATGACAACGTTTTACGGTTGAACAAACAATCCAAACTTCTTTTACCGATATCTAGAAAACTATCTTCTGCTTACGACTTTTTTTAATTTACGCTACTGTCCGCTTGGAACCGCCATGTGACGAGCATAATAAAATCAAACTTTTTCTTCATAAGCGTTGACTTACTAGATATATTTATACAATGGCAGTACCTACCTTTGCAAATAAATACATTCAAATATTATTTTAAACATAAGGCATCTATTGATTCTACTTTTTTATTTGAAATCAATGTTAGTTTATTATTAATAGTATTTTTATTAAAATGATAAATATAACAAAGAGCATGTATGTACAGGATCTTTGATTGGAAGTAAAGAATTTTGACAACGTGGACCGATCTCCGATTATTCACTGAAATTGTACACAGAAAGTAGAAAACAAAACTATCTAATCAGGTAGCTGGACAATAAACTTTTGAAAGAATAGGATATAGATTTTGCATTTTCATTCCATCCGCTTGGTTTCTAGCAGTATTGTTTTCGTTTTTTGCTAATAATTTTACAAAATATTCATATTATTAAAATTGATTCAGAGACATAACTTTATGCAAGGAATATTATTTAATTTGTTATTTTAGATTTTGTTGCAGGGTGTGCACCTGAGCGATTCCTGATAATTAAATTGAGATATACCTTTTTCGACTATACTTTTTAGTAATTTTGATATCTAATTAGCTGGACAATAAACTTTCGGAATAATCAGTTATATTATAGGTTTTGTATTATCGTATTCTAACCATATGATTCTAACTGATGTTAAAGTTAAAATATATTTTGTTGTTTGATAATAATTTCACAAAATATTAATAAATCATTATTAAAATTGTCTCAGAGGCATAACTTTGTACAAGGAATACTATTTCATTTGTTTTTTACACTCTGATAATGAGCGATTCTCGATAATGAAAAAATTCAGTCGTATCTTTTTTTTGACGAAACTTCTAGGTAATTTTGATTAGAATATAAACATAATTTTTGTGTAATACTGTTATACTTGTTTAAACCTTATAATTTTTACCGTTTTCGAGAAACACGCAATTGAACACTTCATAGTCTAAAAGTGTTTTAAAATAAATAAAGTTAACAAATTTGTAACTCCGAATAATAAACGAAATATTTTAATAAAATATTTAATAAACAAATAAAACGTCTTTGGAATGATGTGTCAATTTTATATTTTTATTAATTTACATATGTTTCGGAATAAATTCCAATTTCTAGTGCAGTAACGGTCAAAATTAAAAAAAAAAACATCGAATGACATGTATTATGGCCAGGAAATTATCCTCTTTTTAATAAAAATTAACATACTCAAAGTGAATGTTCTACGTGGCATTCTCCTACTTCTACGACTGTTCCGGTTTCTTTAAAAAAATATTAGCAGCATTTTTTCGCAAAGAAATTTAATTGGCAATTTTTTTGTCCCCAAAATAAGAAACCAAGTGGGTTGTAATTAGGACCTAAAATTTCGAAAAAAAGCTATGACCCAATTTCATCATTAATAATATAATATAATATTATGTGGATAACAAAATGTAAAATAATGTATTCAATTACACTCCTTGTTTTTTATGGCCGTAGAAATAGTTTTAATATAAGATACAATGCTGCGAATTTAGCATACCAATTTGGTCCCAGTTGGTTCTTAAAAGCATACCGAAGAAAATTTGTTAAGACTCCATCGAATACTCTCAAACGGTTGGTGAATAAAAGAAGCAAGAAAAACGTCAATTTAAAAAATGTAGAATGAGACTGTTTGCAACAAACTTCAAACCCTAAAAAAGATTATGGAATACATTGCCAAAAACCTGACCTTCGCGAAGAAGAAATCAAAAAAAAAATAGACCAACAAGTAGGACTATTAGACGGCTCCATTGTTGAAGCTGATGGAATTGAACAGTCTACAAGAGGTCAGAGTAATAACCCAAAATGGTTCGAGGAGAGACAATCCCGTCTCAGAACTTCTACTTTCGGAGACATATCAAAGATAAGACTATACTTCGGAAAATTGGTTGAGACAATTATGTACAAAAAATTACCTTCATTAATACAGTTGGCATATGGAAAAATCAACGAAGATGAAACAAGAGATTATTTGACCAAAAATATTGTGACTCCTTGTGAATTATTCGTCTGCATTGAAAAAGGATACGGGTTTTTAGGAGCATCGCTAGACGGTCTTGTTGGTGATGAGAAAATTATTGAAATTAATTGTCCCTACTTCTCCCCGGAGTATACAACATTAGAAGCAGCAAGTTCTATTAAAAATTTTTGTTGTTACTTAGCTGAAGATGGATGCAATATGTATTTAAAAAGAATCAAAAATTTTTTTATCAAGTGCAAGGACAATTTTATATTTCTAAAAGAAATTATTGTGATTTTGTGATTTGGACAAGATAAGCACATTTTTTATGATCATTATGGGGTACAACTTGCGGATAGTAGACGTTCACGAAATATTGAACCACGAAATTATTCAAAGTGAAATAGATATCTCGGCAGGCAATTATCAAGTCACACAAGTTTTTACAAAATCTGACACCAGAGACAAATCAATAAAAATGTGAATGAAAAACAAATGCTACAACTTAAGAATAATATTCTGGCACCAATTTTAGAAAAAGCTCTTATGCTCCTGTCACGGCAGACGACGATTTAATCATCCCTTCTTCCAGAGGAAAGGCAGAACTATTTGTCAAAATGTTTTGTCAAAATTTATACTAAATTCTCAAAACAACAGGAAGTTGTTAACTACTATTCCACAAGTTTTTTTTTTATGTCTTAATCTCTCTTAAAAATCTATTACAACCCGCAAAAAAATGTCCTTATCATAAGTAGGTCCTAATTTTTTTATAGCTTAATATTTGGTTTAATTTATTTATCCATTTGAGTTCCTCCTCCTATAGTTACGAAGCTGCCTAATGAATATCTAAATTATTTTTATTACACAGTGTCTAGGTACACGCTAATTTGTACGCAATTCAAAAAGTTATATACACGCGAAACGTCTTGACAGATTAGGTGAGCTGTGTCTAGGCCGTTAGTGTTAATGCCGGTCAGCGTAGCTAGGTATGGATTGAAATTTTCTGGTGGCGGCGAAGCCGCCACCCTACGCGAGAGGTCGTTTCTTCGTTTTCTTGTTGTCACGGCATTATTATTATTTGTTCATGTATGTGAAATTTGCTTCTAAGGTTTATAAAATACTACTGCTAGTCACGGCGTAAATGATAACAAACAAGACGCATTCACACAAACACCTCCCACCACAGCAATACGACGTTTCGCGTGCATATAATTTTTTGATTTGTGTAAACTTTAGCGTGTACCTAGCAACAGCGTTTTTATTAACGCATTGTAATACCTAAGTACAAACGTGTATAATTAAAATTAGTAATAAAAAAAGATAAAGCAACCTATAACTTAATCAACACAAATCAAAATGATTTTTAATATACATAAAATTATTTATTACGCTTTATTATTTATAAGTCCTTCCTGTGTAAAATTATAATTTGTAATTATGAAAAAAAATGAAGCCAACCTGTAAGTAAATAAATGTAAATTACAAATTTTAACTTCAATCAAATTAAATTTTTTATTTCTCTTCTTTGTTTCATTGTTTATCTTTCTTATACCTAAAGCGATGAAATAATTTATAATTATCCAGATGTAATAAACTTTTTAAACTCCTTCTTGAAATTATAAGTTATAACGCTAAACCGGCAAAGTTATGCAAAGACAACAATCTTGCTACTTGTGTTTAATTTATTGAAATGTTTTTAAACGTTCTGAATATTATTGTAGAGGCAGCACCTTACAGAGCTTCAAATCTAACGTGGGAATTTTAAATATGGTTTTATTCATTTATTTGTAAACACGCTCAATTCAGTAACACGTCATAGGCTTGTAAGTTTTATTCTATTATATTCAACGAGTTTAAAAAATACGTATGAATAAATGATTTATGAATATATTAAAATATTTTTTTCTTTTGCGACAAAATTGTAAATTAAAAAAATTGCACATGTTAGTAAAATAAATCATTTTACAAAATATAGTTGAAATCGCTCTAGCAGTTTTTTAGTTTTATAAGTGGAAAAAACAGTTTTTCTTGTTTGAACGATTTTGATTGAAATTTATGAAGATACTAACCAAGATCTCGTATATATAAATTTTTGAATTTGTAGTTATTTTTCCGGCGGTCCACTTGAACCTTTACTGATCATTTATCTACAATTTTCTTTTGATGTATTTAATTTAATCAGAATATATACAGATACAATCCAAGGAAAATGCTGTTCTAACAATTTCTTTGTTACATTTTAGAAATGCCAATCTACAATTAGCCAAGTCACTGATGGAAAGATTATATGGAGTGTCGATGAACAACTTTTGTAGGCCGAAAAATATTGCAGATCTGTTTGTTTTATATCCTAAGATTGCTTCTTATTTTTTTAAATTACTCTCCTTGGAAGAATTGGACGACAGAGCTGTTATTCTATTTCAGTTTTTTTCTGAATCTTACATAAAAGAAACTGTGTTAGATGACGATATATCTGAAATTCTAGATTGCTTTAAAATTGTTTTGGTCCACATTATCAAAAATTATGATAATCAATATGGAAAGCTTGCTGTAAAATCGTACGTATCGATTTGTCAAGCCAGTGATATTCCTAACGTATTTCTGGACATTGCGGATTTTATTCAGATCAATTTTGTAACTCTTCCAAAAAATATATTTGCAAATTTAATAATGCTGATGCAAGAATTACATGAAAAATATAAAACTTCATTTGAATTTCAGGTCGACAAAAGTGGTGGACAAAATATGTATTTTGGTTGGGTAAATCTTACGTTTTTTCTTAAAAAATTTCATACAAAATTGTTTGATTTTTTATTGCTTAAAGTTAAGTCTGTTGGTGATATTCTTTGTGAAAAATTGTATGAAAATAATCTTTGGGTACATAATAATTTAACATTTTTCTTTTTAAACGCAAATTCGGTACAAATTTGTGAAATGTTGGATGATAAAACGTTTTTTAATGTTCCAGAATTTGCTCAGGTCAAAATGTTGAGTATTTTAATTCAAAGATCTGAAAATGACCTGTTTTCAGATGCCGATTTAGAAAATATCACTAATTCTCTATTTAGAATTGCTTTATCATCAAATGAAAAAACTGTATATTTATTAAATTGTTATTATAAGTGTTTATTAATTTTCCAAGAAAATGCTAACATAAACTTTGAATTTACAGCTCTTCTTTCAAAAAATGTATATAAAAATTTAATTACGTTAATATATATCTCTAAAAAACCATTTTATAATAATTCAAATGATCAATTTTTTAATTCATTAATAAATAGCATTAAAAGTAATATTTCGACAAATGAGGACATTGATAGAGACATATTAGCAGCATTGACATTGTCTTTTCCTGTATTACCTAAGAAAGTATGTATAGATATTTTAAAAATTATTCTGTATTATTCTTTATTCAAAACGACATATTTAGACGCCTTTTATTGTGTTTGTGTCATTTCAAATAAAAGTTATAATGGTATATTATACGCTCTTGACAATTTTTATAGTTTAGATAATTTAAAAACGATTTTGGAGGATGATGTAATTGTAAAACGATTTATTTTAGATGTAAAAAGTTTTGTAAATACTAATTTTGCAGAGATAAAGTGCGATGATAATGAGTTTTACATAGTAGAAGAAGAAGTTTTAATACCAAACAGTTTTATTAAAAAAATATTTAGTTGTAAACATTTTTATAAAAAAGAAAGAAAATAAAACGTATAAAAATGAAAAATGTTTAATTTTTTCAGCGTGTAAATAGGTCCATATGGTATTTTCTTAAACTGACAGCATGGTATATATATGGTGGCAGTGATCTAATAACGTGCTCTTAACTCTTCTTAAAAGAGAGTGTGGTTGTCTGGTTTTCATTGAAGGGCTAAAATGTGTTAAACAATAAAGTGGCTAAAAAAACGCCCCTAGTGGGGCTAAGCCGCTGTTCTCTCTCTAAATCCATATTTTGGGTGGATCAATCCCATTCACTTAGATAATACTCTACAATATGTCTCCATTTTCCCTATCCTGTACTTTTTCTTGCCAATTACTCACTCCTGTTTTGCGTAGATCTTTCACTTCCTTTAGCCATCCTGATCTGGGTCTTCCACGTCCTCTTCTCCCTTTGGGATCCCATTGTAACATTGAATGAACCAATGTTCCATTTCCTGCTCTCTAAACTTGTCCCAACCATCTAACTCTGGATTGTTTTATTTTTGTTATTATATCTTCTTCTAGCTCTTGTTTAATTTCCTCATTTGTTCTAATTCTATATTCTTCTGTGATTTTTATTGCTCCTAATATTGCTCTCATAATTTTTCTATCCATAATTCTTAGATCTTCATTTTTTGTCATACTCATTGTTTCTGCTGCGGCGTACAGTAGTATTGGTCTGATTATTGTGTTGTATATTTGCCTTTCTGTGTAATTTGCTTTTAAGTAATTTTTTATTTGCGTGAAAGGCTTTATTTGTAGTGACTATTTTTTCTGTCTTCAGTTTTAGCTATTGTGATCGCCAAGTATTTAAATTTTTGCAATTCTTCGAATTCATGTTTTCCTATTTTAATGCTTTTTGATGCTGCTTTGTTATATAATCATGATTTTTGTTTTTTCTTGGTTTAGCTCTAGTCCCATAATTTTTCCTTTTACAATTTCATTCAAGATTTTTCTTGTTTTTGAAATTATCACTTGTCATCTGCATATGCAATGACTTGTCCTCCCCCCTGTTCTCAGTGTTCCTTTTTTATTTTTCCTCGTCACATACTCTAATCAGAGGTTGAACCGACTGAAACCGAATCTCCCTGCTTTACTTTATTATTTAGGAATTCTATCGCTCCTTTTTGTGTTTTAATATTAATTTTTGTTTCTTGTATCGTCATTGTTATTAACCGCCTTAATTTTATTGGTATTCCTAATTTTTGTAGGACCAATTGCAGTTTTCTTCTTTTTATTGAGTCAAAGGCTTGTTTAAAATCAATAAAAAGCATTTCTAATTCTATTTTGTGTACATACGTCTTTTCCATTATTTGCTTTATTGCATGAATTGCATCTATAGTTGATTTCCCCTGTGTGAATCCACCTATTTTGTTGTTTACGCTAGCCGTCTTTGTATTTATTGCTGAAATTATTTTGTATGCTGTATTAAGTGTTATTCCTCTGTAATTTTGACATATTTGTTGGTCACCTCCCAGACAACACACCAAATCCCAGAGATATCCGCAGAATATCTTTTGTGGATATCCAATATATCCACAGAATATCAGAAATATTCCGTGGATCTAATATGTCCGTCTATATCCAGGATATAGAAGATATCCTAATGGATATTAAGCAAAATATCTAATGGGTATCTTCCAGAAAATACAAGAAATCACAGAGATATCCACATAATATATTTTGTGGATATTCAATATATCCAATATGGATATCCAACCAAATGTCCGTCTATATCCCAGGATATAGAAGATATTTGGATATTCAGCAAAATATTTTATTGGTATCTTTAGTAGAGGTTCATAAGTAACCAATGATTATTGAATAACGTCGAAAGAAAATAGCAGAGATAAAAAATATTTTCAACACTCAAAATATTTTCAACACTCTGCCTTTGATTTTACCCACTAAGGAGAAAGTCATCCTTATTAGGACTCTTCAGCAATAAATGAAAATTCTCGACTCCAGAGTGATTAGGACACACACATTTCGATCGAACTCAATTACGGCGGGTCGAGCATGAGTAGATGCTATAGTGGTATCGCCATCTATACTTAGTAAGCAGAATCAAATAACATCTAGTGGATATCCACGATGGTTTACGTTCGCGCCTAGACTTTGATATATTTAGTGGATGTTCATGGGATATTGAATACACCTTAAAAAAATTAATTTTAAATATCTGAACGGTACTATTAGCCACAATGGCGTAATTTTTTAATAATTTGCTATATAATTACCTACTATTATTTATGGACATTTGCATGTCTATAAATTACATTTCATGGATATAAAATAGATATCCACCATGGACTGGACATTCAGTGGATATTGGGATGTTCAGTAGATATCCAAAGGATTTGGTGTGCTGTCTGGGATTATTTCCTGTTTTTTCGTCATCTTGTTTACCATTTCATACTGTTCTGCTTCCTTATTAGGTGATCTTCTGCTGAATATTCTTCCAGCTTTTCCTCTTTCCATTTGTTCTTTGTTAGATGTGCTGTTGTAAGTGTCTCCATAACATAAATCTTCTACTGTATACATCTTGTCATTTATATATAATTTATTGTAATTTATGTTTGCTATAAGTCCATTCTCTCTAGCTTCCTTCATATGCTTTCTTAATATTTTTCGCTGTTCTTGAATTTCTTTCGGATAATCTTCATCGGGTCGGTGGTGAAGCAGTCTAACGCGCTTACATTCATTTATAGGCAAGTTTATGGTCCGAGACTGCCGGGCTTCGAATCCCAGACAAGACCATGTGGATTTTTAATTAAATTGCATGGTTCGGTATAGGATTTGATGTGTGCCGTATTATTAGAAATTCAATTTCTGTTGATATGACATGCAGATTATAAAATCGCCACGCATTACCGTCTCGATGATAGTGGGTAAGGTTTTTCGGGTTTTCCTCACCTGTAAGTCAAATGGCACCATAAATCATCTTTAAGTCGCCCCGGAGCGCCACGGCAAATAATAATATCCGTCCCTTTCCCCGCACAAGCTCAGCTTTTGGGGTTAAAATTCACTCGTAAGGGGGTGAATTAGAGAGAGTATTATTATTATTATTATTATTATTATTATCATCGGAGTTCATATCTTCGTGATAATCTCCGGTTTTGTATGATGTAAATACCCCGTAGAGAGTCCTTCTAGAAACGCCTGTCTGGAATATTTGATATTAAGGTCTTGCTATACTTTTGATATTGTGTGTTCTTCATTTAACCATGTCTCGTCGGTGTAATAATTTTGTTTGCCTTCAAGTCTGTATTTTCGTATGCGATCCAAAAATGTTTTCCTCCAAAGTACGATCTCGTTTTTTCAATTAATAAGCTTTTCCGGTTCAGTTTCAAATACCAGAAGTTCATTTCATGTACAGTTCTTTTTAAGATACGTTATGAAATTTTAGGTAAATCATTGTCTTAATTTATATGACAAATATAACAAATATTCACTACCCAACAGTAGTACGACAGTGTCTGGACAACGTCTTTCACATACGCGGTAACAGAGTTGCCACGCATTTGCCGAAATTCTAACTCGCCTACTGCAGCCAAGAGCAAACCGAACACCTTAAAAATTTATATTTCATTCTGAGCCTTTACTTTTAGTCTGATTTTTATCAAATTTTTAGGAAATACCAATCGTAACAAAACTTAGGGTGAAGGAACCTTGATTTTTTTGGAAACCTTCGAAAAGTATTTATTTTGAAAATTTTTAAAAGTATATTAAAAAAAATATTTACGTGCCACTCTGTATTAAATCTATAAGAATTTGCTGCTTTTTGTTTAAATAAATAATATCTAGTAGTTTTTAAATTGAATGATTTCCCACCTTTTTTTCTTAAACGTCTCTGTAGAGTGCTGCCTTATCGTTGCACAAATTTAAAGCTCCCAATATTGTCAAGACATAAAATCACGAAGTATTTATTCCCAGTGGCACGCATATAAATACAATTTTATATTAGAAAATTCTCAAAACATTTTTACAGTCGTCTAGCACAATTTGGCAACGTTGCGTCAACTACGCAGAGTGTTTCTAGCGCTATTAAATAGAAGTGGCAAAATGGAGTTATAGGAGCCGCAAGGTGAATTTTAGTGAGCAAAATAAATTAAGCCGCTTGACCGTATTTGTTTTTGAATTAAAAATATGAGTCACTGCCAAGAAAATCGAACACAGACTATAGTCACCGTTTCAACACAGTCAGTTTGTATAAATGGCAACGTCGTTTTTCGCTCGTTCCAATGCCGGCTTTCTGTAGCTTTCACTCACACTTATGTTAGGGATATTGGAAGATGGGCGATGGCCCATACTGTATATAGTAAAAGAGCATATTCAACTTTTCCTTTACTCAATGTTAATTCATGACTTAGGTAAAGAATCAAGAGAAAATAAATATTTCTAGTATATAGGTTAAATACAATAAATGTAATTATTTGTTATTTACATCTTTGGTAAAATTAACTTAAGTACATTTTTTTTTGTATGCAACAAAAATTAAATATGAACTGAAGTGATAAGTAAATAATGCATTTATGGATTAATTTGTAAGTACAAAAAATATTTATATAACTTAGTGGAAGAACTATAAAATAAGAAAATATTCGCATGTATCTTATGCTTTCTTTTGTTATCAATTTTTCACATTTCCTTTTGGTTTGGGTCCGATAGTCCATCTCGAAAATAACGTTATTCTAGTTAAAACAAAATAAACTGTCTGTTAATTGTGTTACTGTTACGAGTAATAGAAAGATGTTAGTTCTTCTGCGTTTATGATTGCTGTGTTAGTACGACCAGTAGCAACAGGAGTCAACAAGATTTGCCCTTCAAAATTCTGACATTCAAAATCCTCGGTCAGGTTTATACGCTGAAAATAAAATAATAATTTTAGTTAAACAGGCCAAAATAGTTATTTTTGTATCTAAATTGCGATCTTTGGTAACCAAGAACGAAAGTTTTTGACGAGGTGCAGCCGAGTCAAAAAGTTGTTCGAGATGACCAAAGAATTTTGCATACGATGAGAGACAAATAATTTTTTCTATAACGACTTTAATTTGATTAACTAAAAGTATAAAACGATATATTTAATACAAATTAATTTAAAAAACATAGTAGGGTCCGATTACAATTAGAAGAACACGGCTACGTCATAACCATTACTTCGAATTTCGAATACATATTATCTTTAATTATCAATAAATAAAAAATAAGTAAGTTATTAGGTATAGGACCAAAAAGTATGCACTTTCTGAACAATTTTTCGTCCAGAAAGTAACACTTTGGCGATCAAGACCGGAAAGTAGGCATTAAGGAGCAGTAAAAGCTTTACCGGTCCCTCTTTTTCATTTTTCCTATCGCTGTTTGATAATATAGTCTGCCTTGATTTCGTTACTATGGTAACAACTATCCGATTTATTGGCAAGTGACAGTTCGTTGATTTTTAATCTATTGTTTATGTCAAACTTGTTTTCGCAAATTTAAAAATATGGATTCAGATTTTGAATGATCTGATATAGAAAATGAAATTCCAGAAGAAATTTTGGAAGTAGCAAAAATGTACATTTAAGATAAATATTCAAAAATAATGTATTTGGTTAGTTTATTCAGTTGTATCAGAGACAACAGAGACGTGTAACTTAATAGGAAAATTTGTTCTATGGTCCATTTAAATTACATATATGACTTTCTTTCTCTTTTACATTGATCTTTACATATATTTATTTCTCTCCAATAAAACTAACACCAATCTAAGATGTCGCTGATGTTGCTGGTTTTTTGACGTCGACGGTTTTTTTTTGCATGAAGCAATTTCTGGAACCAAACTCGCGTTTTTGTACACGTTTCTTTCTAGAGGTAAGTAATTTCCAATTTATTAAGGAAACCACTGTATAATGTGTGTGTTTAATAATATATTACAAAATGGCTATAATTATTTTAGGTGAATTAGAAAAGAGATGCATTGTTACAGCTACTTTTGTTCATTAAGTAGGTAGATGAATGTCTCGATAGCTTTAATGGAAGCACAAAATAAAATAAATAATTGAGTTAGCATCGAAGTTCGGTCTTAAAAAATATTGTACGTTACGCGACCGAAAATTAGTGTTAAGCAGGTCTCTCCAAGCTTTCAGGTCTCGCGTACGGCTCGACCTGGAATCTGCCTGTCTCGACCTGCAATACACTACTTTCCGGTCTTGTAACGTAAATTACTATTCCCATATTCCTATAATATTAAAAACTCCACTAAACCCCAAGTAGGCGGCGATAACCAATTAATTACTTTGCTAAATGATGACGTAACTGTAATTCTAATTATAATTGGACCCTAGCAGATCTATCTTAGGTGTAACTATATGGAAACCGATATGCTTGATAAAAAACATGTTTCTTTAATTCTTGTGTATATATTAAAAATTATAAAAGAAACGATAATAGGTGTGTGATGTGCAAAATATTTTGCACTCTAATGCGCAAAATATTTTGAACAGGGTGTCATGGTTAAGCAAAAAAATAAAATGTCACTTTTTAGACACTGACGTTAATGTGCAAACATTGCCCTTTTTGACTATTGTAGAAAATAGTAAATTTAATGGTGAATTTGAGGGCGTCGTTTCCGAAAGGACGCTCTGAAAATAATTAAAAGTGTTTAAAAGAAGAATTGTTACGTCAAAAATTTTAGGTAGAGTGTATTTGACTTAATGTACTTAACTTCATTCTTTTTTGTAACGGAAATAACCATTTTAATTTGAAGTCAAAAAATTATAAATCACTTTTGAATTTAATTATGTATATTAAAAAACATACAGTCACCGTAGCCTAATTTGTCTATGGTAGGGTAAAATTTGTACACAGTTACAGTAGGCGCTGGCAATTGAAAATCGCCATTACCGCTCATCCCCACTTCAGACAAATTATACTGTGGAGACTGTATCCTTCTTTTTTCTAATTTTCCTTGATTTTGTAAGGCATGTAGATATTAAGTTTATGTTTCGCCATACTGTTAATAGAACGATTTTTTCCTATATTGATAGTTAAAATTGATAATGCAGAAATAGGAGAAGGGACTAAAATAAATTTAGTCTGTCCATCGAGATAGAATTAAGTATAGACGACATAAACACTATTTTGCGATATGACAGATGGACGCACTTAGCGATGCTTGACTGACGGAACAGTGTAATCAAAATGGCGACTTAGATTCGTAGTTTCATTTATTTGAACTTAATAATTTTATATTTGTAGATTGACGGGATAAAAATACTTTTCTATCACTTAAAAAAAATGGTATTTATTTTCATCATAACTCTACTACCTCGAGTTTGACAAATGACGTAAAAGTATAATGCAAAGGTGTGGACACTTTTAACATCGTCATACCATCTCTTCCTTTGAAATCTCTTCTTTATTCTATCTCAATGAGTATCAGTATCAGTATTTGACGTAACATATTAGTGAGTGTTAAAAACTCTTAACAGTACTCAATAAACATTCTATTGACACCGACGTATGATAATATTCAATCTTAATTTTACTTACATTGGTTTTTTTATGTGCTATACAAAAAGTGCATACTTGGTGTCTACTAGTATTTGTACCATCTTTTAAAAACCTTAAACATGGTTGTTCTATAGGCCCTGAAAAAAAAAAAAATGATTATTAAAATTTGAAAGCAAATATGTGGCTGCTATCTCAAAGATATTTAACAACTTATTTCCATATTTATTTCTTTTTTATTCGACCTTAATTCATAGGACTTGTAATTCGCAACATTGTGTATATAAACAATTTGAATTTGAAACATTAAAAATATAATTTAATAAGTTGCATGAGTAGGTAATTCATTCTCTTCTTTAGCAAATTCAATAAGAGGAAAGAAAACTCGGAAGTCATTTATCACATAGTTTTATTAAATAAAGATTTTAATTGATGGATCGAGAAGTTATGATCAGAATGGGCCATCATCAGGCTATGAATTTTAAGTAAAATTCATAAAAAGTAATAATCTTTTATTGTAAAATATGATATTGTAAAATCCCCACTTTTTAGGCATGCTGATAGCCGATAATGGGGTCTATTCTGTAACAATTCCTTTATATTTAACGGCCTTTAAAAATATTGGTGGCCTTTAAAAATAGTTTCGTATTCGTTAATTTACTTCTATCATTATTTAACCAGATTTCTTTAAGATAGTCTTCTAATGTATTTTAAAGATCCGTTTAAATAATGACAGAAGTAAAGGAGAAAATATTTTTAAAGGTCGTTAAATATAAAGGAATTGTTACAGAATAGACCCCATAATGTCTGAAATTAGTCGTCCCATCAATTAATAATCGTCTGACTTCGAGTTTTCGTTCCTCATACTAAAAATTCATTAATTTTATATTTACCTGCCATTAGTTGGGTCCCCAAGTGTGAAATATAACTTGAAGCCAATCGAAGTGTTTCGATCTTACTAAGTTTCCTATCTTTTGGTTCTGTTGGTATAAGTGTTCTTAATGTTGTAAAGGCTATATTTACACTGAAACAGAAGAAATAGATCAAAGAAAATTTAATTAAAAACAAATATAAAGAGATTTGTATTTGATCGCACTATAAAAATTCGTAATGAGCCAGGAGTTTGATAAACTAAAGTTTTGATTCCATTAAAAAATCTAATGGATTTAATATTTAAATTAGGTTATAGAGGAAGCCAATAAATTGAAAACGTTAACATCATTAGAGAGTTATCGGCAAAGTCTTGATCAAATAAGGTCTTTTCCTTTGCATCGAAAGTGTAGCACTGAGCTACGTCACTACTGAAAATATCGTTCCATCCATACAATTTGTATATATGGAACGATATTTTCAGAATTGGTGTAGCCCAGTGCTACACTTTCGATGCAAAGGAAAAGACCTATAAGGTATCCTTATTTTGACAGCTACACATGCGCATTAATATTTTAGTAAGAAATAGTGCTAAACAAGAATACGGTAGGTATTTCCTTATTTTTGGAAAATACGGAAACCTTATAATAATTGGAATGCGGTCACTTACTCGTATATGAACGGGGCTATTCGGACTATTCCGCAAATGTCATTCGGATCATGGGAAGATGGAATGTGTTTCTCGCATCAAATAGAATAATTATTCTGAGGTGTTTTTGATTTTCAAGCGGGTAATGAAATTTTAAAAGTGTGAATTTGAATAATAAAACAAGTTTAAAATTTTAAAAAATAATTTAGTACTGGTGAGAGAAGTGTTGACTGTTTAAAAGATCTTAATCGATGAGTAATAAAAATTAATGTAAACAAGAAGAAATAGTAGTTTGTACAACAAGAGTGGATATGATGGCCATATCGCACGAAGACGAAATTTGAGCACGACTCGAGATGTACAGTATATTTTTTCTACGACCCACTAACGAAAATTTAAAAATAAAAAATATTTTAGGTTATTAAGACAAAATAACTATTTTTAAAATAATTTATGACTTTTAATAATTTTTAAAATAAAATAAACGAAAAAAGTTTGTTTCATTTTTCCCTATCCGAGAAACGAACTCCAGTCTTCCCTGTGAAAGGCAAGAACACTAACTACAGGACTATCTCGTCCCCTTAGTGCAACAACTAGATAACTTGAAATTTATAGTTTTGAGAAAATCCACTTTAAAGATTCAAAACGCAAAAAAATACACCTGTTAAGTACCGTAGAATGGGGTGAATCGGATCAATTTTGAGAAGCTATAAATCTCTAGGGTTTAGTGCTAAAAATTATCCGATTGCGTATAAATATGAGTTAAGACTAGTACTATCATCTTACTATGCCAAACTTTATACAGGTTGATTCTCTTAGATGATATATTTTTTTTTGTTCCCTGATCCTATTCACCCCATACCTGGGGTGAAAAGAATCGGTCATATTATTTTTACTCTGATCGCTTTTGCCGGACTATTGGGGTGAATAGAATCAATATTTATTGTTTTAAAAAATATATTTTATTAACTAAAGGACTAAATACCCTACGTGAGGCAAATAGAAATTAAATCAGAAAATAAACTTTTTAATTCTTAAAAAACCTAAAACTAACAGGAACTTAATTAAAAAAACAAAACAAACAATTCTTTGTCAAAATAATAAAAAAAAAAGTACTTTTCTTTGGTATAAACGTATATAAGTATCAAAAAAAAATATATAAAAATAACCAACTTCAAAAATCGTAAAAATAGGAAAAAATAAAAAACGCTTTAAAACTCGAGAAAGTTTACGGAAAATTTAAAATATCCCCGCAAATATTTTACGGGTGGCTCCACTTTTCCCACAACTTGATCGAATGGAAACTCTGAAATTTCTTCTTTATCAGGAAATTGAAAAACGTTTCCCAAAAAATCCCTCGTGTGTTTTTCGCGAAGAAAATTTCCGTAAAATTCTGTTTCAGTCTTCCGTACAACTTGGCATAAATAAAAACGTAAACCAGAAGAGGATGAACTGGCCTTCCTTGTTTCTGTAGGAAAACTCACGAGAAGCCAATCCTTGAAGCCAATCTTTGAGATTTTAAAAAGGCTCCAGAGTTAGAGTGGTTAGAGTCATATTTTTCGTAATGTTTAGAACGGGGATTACGTTTGTAAACTCGTGGCATCGCTGTTTTTGGCGGGCATTCGGCGATCCGATTCACCCCACAACCTTCGGCAACAGGTGGTTATCAGATCTAGGATTAAAAAAAAACTGTAAACAGTTTGAAATTTTCCTTTTAGATAGGACTAACCAGATGCCTAACAAATCACAAAAAAGAATTACTTACATTTTTCGTGCAGTCTTGCCTTCAGCAGCGTTCAACTTATTTCGGCTTCAAAAAAACGGTCACTTCTGTATGTTTGGTTATGGCACACGTGATGCGCTGTTGTCAGATGTGTTCAAATATTCATGAAAGGTATCTATTTGATCTATAACTAAGTCTGTGACCATAAACCGCCTTAATTTCTAAATAAGCCTAGACAGTAATTTTTTTAAATAATCAAGTCACTTTCGACCCTATTCACCCCGGTGATCCGATTCACCCCATTTTACGGTAATCAAAAATATTTAATATCTATACAGATATATTGCATATCAAATTATGATTTGTTTATTTTGGAAACAATTAGGTTTTATAACTTTGCAGAATTTAATCAAAAACTGGAGATATCTAGTTGTTTCTGAAAAAAGATTAAAGTTATCTATTTATAACCACTAACAATTAAATGCAAATCACCTAATAAATACAACTTTATTTTGAATAAAAAATTAACAAGATTAGTTTAAATAAAACCCAAAAGATTCCACCCTTGACACAACTTAAGTGTCAATATCAGTGATGTCGATTTGGAAATCTTCCATGTTTAAGGCCGTTTGCGTTGGTCTCCTTGGAATGGAAGACGTTCAAAAATGCTTTATACTCGCTAGGGAGGGCCGGAGGATTCATTTTGAACAAAAACATAGGGTTACCATATTTTTTTAAGTGGTAGTTGAAATTTGATACAAAAGCTCTTAGGTATTATTTGAAGACAACATACGTGTTTTACGTTTAAAATTTAGACGTCTAAACTCCCCATCAAAATCTACTATAAAATTAATAATAAATGACGTCGATTTTGAAAAGTTCAACCAGCGTATTTTCTGTCCACTAACCAAGTTATGGCTGTTAAAAAGACACCGTAAAAACAATTTAGCAGCACAGAAACAAACCTGTTGTTTCAAGTACACAACTAGATATCTCATAGCAACCAAGAAAGTGCCGGCAGATAACTCAATAATACCAGTACTAAAACTAGATATCTCAAGATCTCTAGTTATAAAATGTATATATTGGGAGTTATCTGATTTTAGTCACTCTTCAAAAATATAGGTTTGGTTGCTCGTACATGATATACAGTTGTTGCATTGAAAAGAGCATGAAAAATAGGACAGATTAAACTGGATAACTCAAAATGCATAAATTTCGAGTTATCTAGTTGTTGCACTAAGGGGGCGATCTATTCTATTATTTTTGTTGCTTTAATACTCGTAATTAAATTGACTTTATATAGTTTTATTTAAATTAACAAATTATTTATAATTATAGACGAAATAAAAACAGAAATGCTATTATTCGATTCTACACAAGAATAACCCATTTTAATGTATGTTTAATCCCAATAACTAAAAAATATAAGTACTATAACTAGTTTGACAGAATTGTCACTATTTAAAATTTTAAAAATAATAGCAGTCGGTTGATTAAAATATGAACGGTGATTGGTGGAATTCATTTGTTTTGCAGTGTTCTCACTACCTAGAATGGATATGAAATATATTCGTTCAGTTGAAGGCAATAGCATAAACTTTTTCGTTTTGTAATCTGTGCGCGGATAAGCTAATATCCATGTGGGTGTAGAAGAAATATTTTTCTCTCGTGAGAAACCATCTAAATATTTTATTATTGCAAGAAGAACTATAATTTTAATAAGATATTCGATTATTACTTAAGTTTTCAACTTATGTCACTTTCACAAAATACTCTTAAATTCAAATGTACTTTAAACTGCTTAAACTAAAAGTCTAAATAGATTCAGATCATCATCACGTTACTGTATAGAATGACATTTGCGATAACACTCATTTTTGTTTGGACCTTAGGCTGAATACCGTAAGGAATAGGGTTACCGTATTCTAAAAGTGACGAGTGGCAATAACTAAGTAATTCTTCTGTGCAATAATTCTCTAAAGCAGCTGTACTCAACATTTTTTTATTTCGGGCCACATAAATCTGTTGTTATACTACACGGGCCGCAATATTTTTGGGTGATAACTAGAGTTGCCACTTTTTTGAGATGTAAATAAAGGACAGTGGATGACAATAGGCATCCGATTTAAATATTTTCTATAAAAAAAGGTCCTCATGTTATTTAAGTTATTTGTCGCTTAATGCAGGCCTGCATAACTCAGATTTTCAAAGGGCCAGTTCAAAAATCGTACATGTACAGTGTACGAGGACCACCAAGAGAGGCCTGAGCCTATAAATTTATAAAGCATGTCTACAAAAAAAGGTACTCAGCTATCGACCGCCTAAAACAGACAAACTTGGAGGGCCGCAGGTTGAGTATGGCTACTCTAAAGAGTGGTAGTGCCAAGGGCGGCTCCAGGGGGTGGGCTATGGGAGCCACGCCAATTAATTACTTTGCCGGAGTCATAAGTGGCTACAAATTCAACTTTAGATTTTAAATATTAAAATAAAAATGATCAAATTTCCAGCTATACATTTTTGACCGTCCAGCATTTTATTATAATTTCGTTTTTTGCCATTTTTGACCATGTTGCCGACCCTGTATCGAGTTTTAAAATCGCCAAGTTTCGATTAATTCGTTACTTTATCCCATCACGAAATTTAAAAAAATATTAGAATAAATGTTAAATTTTTCGATTTATATGTCTCTACTTACTGACCTATCTAATGTAAATATAGTAATAAAGAACAGAGTTGGATTCAAATTCAAAATTATTATATTTTTTTTTTCAAAAAGTGTACTTTTAAATTAAATAACTTAAAATACCTGTGGGTTCTATCTCGTTCTCGTGCATTCGCTTGACTCCTCTGCCGAACGGGTATTATAAAATCCCCGTCAAAATTGCACGATTTTCTTCTTTTACGCGCACTACCGTTAAATCTAGACTCGCTCATCGTTCCAGAAAACTGCAAAAAATCCATACTGGCACCCCGGTCAACGGCTCTTAATTAATTAATTAATTAACGCTAATTGCCTTAATTGGAACAAAAGACACCATACAACGTTCTCGGCGAACGATAACAGCGATGTTTAAATAAAAATATTCGGAATGGAGCATGAAGAAATGAAAAAGAGGCGGACTTATTTCACAGATTCCCAGTTATGATGAGAGTCACAGTCAACAGATTTAGTCTGGTGTCTTAGATTAGTCTTTTTATTAGAGACACGCTGTCGGTGCTTATAGGACTTTATTAATAAGTTAATCGGGAGAATGTTCTTTAAACTCATTTGTGTTTGACTAAAGAATCCCACCGCGGCACCCTAAATTCAAATCCAGATGTTTTTGTGTTATTAGGATAATTATTCAAATGAAAGATTTTTTTTACAAATTGAACCTATTTTTATATTAGAAAAAGTGGGAAACTAGTTCATTTTTATTATTCAAATATTAAATTCTGTTTTTTTTTTTAATAATGAAAAGAATCCAAAGATGGTTGCAGTAAAATCTTCAATAAACATAATAATTATATATCTAATATCAGTAAAACTTGATGTATCATAGTGTATGAAGCTGTTAATTATTATTTTATGTTTACTAAGTATTGAATTTGGTTGTGTTTTGACTAAAAATATAATTGTACTAAACTTTTACTCGCCAAAACAAACAATTTATTACATTTTTATACCACTTTCTAAAGTCCGACCGAAGCTTCGGCTAAGGCTTCGGCCACCTTCGGCCAAAAAAAGCACATTCGGCTTCGGCCAAAATCAGCCGAAGGTTTTTTGCCGAAGCCGAAGGTCTGTGTCCAGCCGGCCAGTCGCCAAAACTATAAGAAATAAATATTACGATTTACGAATGACGCCGCCCGCATCACGAGGTAACGAGCATTTGAAAATTTCATGATAAATTGATGTTAATAACTAGTAGGCCTGTGAAATCAGAAATTTTATTTTTTTTTTAATTTTGGAAAACCGATAACTAAAGAAGTTTTAGAAAATATTAAAAAAATGTGCCTTTAGGACTTCACTTGTAACACCCTGTATCTCAAAAACGAAACGTTTTCGGACCTATGTTTAAATGAACTTTTACTCCTATTTTATGATGTAGATTACGCTGTTAAAATATGACCGTCTAATTTCGGGACACCCTGTATATATAATTACAGATTGCCAACAATATATAAAACACAATTTACATTGGTATATAATACTTTTTAGTTTAGTTAAGTAATGTTTTGAAAATTTTAAGTCTTAATAATAAACCTTCGGCTTTGGCTACAGCCGAAGGTTACGACAAGAGCCGAACAATCGGCTTCGGCCAAAAACTGACCTCGGTCGGACACTACCATTTTCTCAAGAATTTTATGGGAATTCCTTCTACATATAAGCATCCCAATTGTAGAATTCTTGATGTGTCATGCATTGGCGGCTCGTGGGCACTAGTGGCAGTGGGGCACACACTGGAAAGGAATCACGGTATTCGTTTTTCCCTTAGGAAAACAAGTTCACCGCTTAATGAAAATTAAATATATTTCAAAACAATCAGTTGGGGCAATAACGATTTCAGAATGTGACTACGGGAGCTAAATGTGACCACTCAAAATGCATTTAACTATGTATGTAGCTATTTAATCAAAAAATCATTACATATCAACTCTTGCTAAATTTACGTAAATTTCTCAGAAGAATGCAATTTACTTAACAATTCTAACTTGTTAACGCATTTTAAAGCATACTACTCTGAAGAAAAGGTGTTTGGCAATTTAAAATCTCCCAGCGAAAAATGTCTCTTTTATATTTTCAAATTAGAAAAAATATTTATATCTCTATTTGATAGTTTGTCAACTAAGCCTAGAATTTCCAACGCATACCTTTTTGAGATGAGCAAAATAGAATTTGGTCATCCTTGCCAACAATTTGCGAAAATGTACACCATTAAATTATTTATAAGACTCAAAATTTTTTATACTCAAATATGCAAACAGAGATTTGAAATCCTCGAAAATGTCAGACAAAACCAAAAGAAAAATTAAAATTTTATCCCATTTATAATTATTATTGATTTTTTTTTCATCATATTTTTGACTGCTTTATAAAAAAGTTATTTTTCTTTGTAGTTTTATTTCTTAACTATTCCAATGGTCCAACTAACATTTTTTCGTAATCACAATAAATAAATTATTATCATGGTCCAACAAACGCGCACCTTTAGCCGAAACCGGCATGGCCGGTAAAGATGCCGCTGCGTACATTCGTATCTGGTCTAGGTAATCTGTGCCATGCCCATGGGTACAGCACTTCAGAATGAGGACAGCGCGTAAGAGAAAATCAAAGTATGTGGGACAGCGCCCTGCTTGTGACGTATAATCCATCGCATGTGTTCATCTCTTGCTAAGCGATATTGTCGTTGTTCTTGTTTTTCGCATCATAATGAGAGAGAAAACAACAGAGGCACACATTTACTGTGCCTATCTTCCACTTAATTTCGGAATTCTCGGAATGTCGCTCAACGCCCGGTCGTCCAGTGTCGTGCCAACGCGGTTTGCGCTGAATATTAGATAAAATAATAATAGGCATTGAGGAAAATATAAAATATGTAAGTTATTTGTTTTTTTTTTTGGTTTATATTATACTAGGGTACGTGCCCAAGAGCCCTTACGGGCAAACCGCCACTGGTGTCATGGTCATGGACGTCCAATCAGTGGCGACTTGTGACCAAAATATTGGGGTTCACAATGACAAAATATAGATCTCAGTGCACATTTAGTTAAAAAAACTTTCAGTGTTTTAGAAAGTTATATTATAAACACTGAAAGCTTTTTATCTAAATCTGTTCGGCCTACTATATTAAAATGCCAATGTCTGTCTGTCAAATTACCGTTGTTTATCAACACTATGAAGACTATAATCAACACACTTTTCAATTAGGCATTCCAAATAAATGAATTGCCAGTGGGAAGGTTTGGTATATCTAAGAGTTGCGACATACGATGTATTCTATCTACTATACGTAAAATCATGAATAATGAATTACATTTAAATATTTTATATCAAACACAATAAAAATAATATTTAAAAAAACCCGCTTATACATTTCTTCATAAATTGGCAGTCTTGGCAATTACTATTACGCATAAAAATAGCGTCCAAGATGCAAGACTATGTCGATAGCCCCTTAGATATACAAGAACTTCCCACTGGCGCCTATTGTTTGACAGGTCGTTGGAATGCCAAATAGATGAACCCAGCCAAGAAGAATTTCCAGAATACTATTTAGATAAAAATATAATGATATATTTATTGACATTATATAATTATATACATTTTTTAAAACTTCTTAAACTTTTAATTTGCAAAAATTTACTATACAAATGATACACGCGGTACGCGCCTTGTGTAATTTTTGAAATCTTCTCAAAATTTGAAGCGTCGAAGACGCTCGGTTCCCCGGTTTAGTTCATTATTTTATCAAAATGAGCCTATATAATTGGGAAATTCCTATTACATAAACAACTTTATTACAGAAAATTAAATTAAATAGGGTGGCGATCTTATTTAAAATGAATCAGTGTAAATAAATCTAAGCCACCAGGCTAAAAAGAATGAGCAACAAGTGTGTTGTGAACGCATGCTGGGGCAATTAGTCAATTTCGATGATTTTAACAGATGGTGGTAGAAACGCCTACTTTGTGAAAAATTATGCGGCATAGGAAGTGATTTAGTTGTTTTTGTTGTATAACAAATGTTTGAGGGTAGTTTTTCTAATAATATTGATGTTACCAAATGTCTGCATGGGGTAAAACTTACAAATGACAATATCTCATGAACTTAAAATGACATCAGAAAAAGCCTTAGATAAATTTATCTAAGGAAAAAGTTTAAAACCATTGTTTTTGGGATACGAAGTGGGAACTTAAATGACAAATTATAGAACTCAACCCTCTACCCGCCACCTACCTGAACAAAAAAATTAAATACATAACTACCCTGCTACTTAATTATTGTCATACGTCATTGTAAAGGTGGTTAAACAAACTTTTCAATTATGTAAATTATAATCTATAATAGGGTGAATGAATAGTTAATGCAAACCCTATTTAAAAAGTTTATCTGAATGAAATATTTTTTGTAATCGCAACAAGTGTCAAAATGATCTACTTTACGCAACCAGTTGCATAATGTTGAACATATTTATTGTGAAACTGGTTTCGAAAAATTCATTATGTCACTAGTTGCGAAGGGAAAACAAATAAAAATTAACCTTTTTTGCTTTTAAAATCAATAATAGACATTATTATTGAAAGTTTATCAAAGAAGGGCAGGTTGACTTATAAAAATAGAATTTTGTTAAACTTACAACCTAGTAATAATGTTGTTTTGGTACTTATTTTCCATTCTAAATCAGCACAAAATAATTAAAACGCGACAAAATAACCCACTTTCTTGAAATCTAAATAACCTTAATAATCAATTTAAACACACTACAATAAGTCGTTGAGAATAAATATGATTTTCTATTGTTCAATAAAAGAATGAAGTTAATCATATGCAACTAACAATACAAGAAAGTAGTAGTAAGTGGTTGCCTTGATGTCAGTAATCTTTCACAATTTTTTAAATAATCTAGTCAAAATTCTGCTCGTATTGCAAATTCACTAGTTACATAAAATAAGGCATTTTGTAACTGGTTTCATAAATAGCTATTAAATATTTCGCTGTGAGTTGAAAATGAAATATGATAGGTTGACCATATACATACATCATTTCGCTGTATTGTACAGCAGTTTCAAAGTCTGTTCAGCATTTGATCTTGTTCAGCAAACCTACATCAAATACCGTATTTTTCTCAAGCATTATATACGCTGTATTTGTCTAGCAAAACGTCATTCATTACTATCTAGCAAATATCTAAAATGTAACAAATAAGACTTTGGAGAGCTAAAAAAAATAAATATGGTCACCCTATGATATTGTCAGGCTTATTCGTATAAATTCATATTTTTCCTAATTTTAATTAATTATTTAAATAACATCCTGTACATAAAACTTTGTTTAATTATGTCAACAATTTGTTTTAAATTGCAATCATGTGCAAGGTTGGTTATTTAATAATTATTAAACATTAGTTTCATAACAATAAACTATAAAGAAATTATAAAGATAATGTCGAAGTGACGCGCAGGGCTTTTTCCACAGGGAAGGATCCTCCCCATAGGAGGCCCCCTTGTAGGCGATTCCCAGTAGCAGCTCCAGATCACTGAGACTCCGACCGGAGGATCAGGATCTCCATATTTTAAATTAAAAGTTTTTTTTTGTATTTTGAATAGTCAGGCAAGAGTTGTGACATATGCCCCAAATTTTATCGGAGTTGGTAAGTTTACATTTTGTGTACCTA